GGGCCTCTGGCACGACGGATAAAGTGTCCGGCCTCGGATCAGAGAAATCACGGCCGCACTCCTGGCTGGCGCTGCGGGTTTTATGCTTTCCAACACCTGGGGAGTCACCCTCTTTGCCTCTAGCACCCGAAAAGTGTTTCCTCTACATTTCTGAAAACCGACAATGGTGAAGTGGATAAAAAAAAAATGGACTGGGTGCATGACGTGCACGCATCCCATATGGTCTAGCGGTCAGGATTCCTGGTTTTCACCCAGGCGGCCCGGGTTCGACTCCCGGTATGGGAAGTTGTTTGACCAAAATGTGTAGCGGGCAGAAGTGTCTGTTGCGTCCTTGGGCTTGTTTTGGGTCATGGCAGGCCTATTGCGAGTCCAGCTTGGACGCTGGCATTGGAGCCTGTTGTAAGTAAACTTGGTGTTATACTGACCAACACCTCACCAAGGGGCAAAGCAGGCGGGCCAGTGGCGCAATGGATAACGCGTCTGACTATGGATCAGAAAATTCTAGGTTCGACTCCTGGCTGGCTTGTCTTTGTGTGCTTTTTGACATGCTTCTGAACAAACCTGAAGAGCTGATGTTGATCAAAGTCAAGACATGCGACTGACAAGTAGACCTGCGACACTTGGCTCTCACGCTCATCATGTGTAAGTGAACTCTGATTTGCCTGCTCGTGAAAAGAGACAGAGCACTTCAGAGATTGTTAATTGATTGCCTTAATTTTTTCCATGTATTACTTATCAAGTGCACGGGACACAGCACATCATGGCATTTTACCACGCTTGTGTCTTGCTTGCTGGGCTGTGGAGGCAATGTGAGGCAAGATACACCCTGGACATGTACAGCCAGAAACACTAAACCTGAAAACGTTTTTCATGTTTAAGTGTCCCTCAAAACAAAAAATCAGTAGAAAAAGAATTAGTGGCACAAATCATGTGCTTTCATTCATTCCATGCAACTTTTTATTGTAAGAGACTACATTCATTCTTAAACACATTACTTTTCCAAGTAAAACAGATTTTTGAAACATTTTAGTTTTCGTTAAATAATTGATTTGCTAAAGTGGAACAGAAAAAAGTTTTGTTGACGTTCATGGAATATAATTTCCTTTTCTCCAGTATACATCGTCATACATGAGTATGTACTTAATGAACAATGGTGCAGAAGAGCAGAGGAATCAGCACCTTTTTTTAAAGATCACCTTGAAAAATGGAAACAACTTTTTAAATAAAATACAGTAAGTGAATTTGAAAGTGATGAAGGTTTTTAAGCCAAAAATTTTTGTATCATAGCACATGCTAAACTCATTCCCACTTTAACACTTAATAGAATATGTTCTCCTTCTGCTTAGGTTTGCATATTTTTTTGGTTCAGATTGCTTCATCCTAACGGGAGTTACAACCGAATATTCAGGGCCTTTTTCAAGTGAATCTCCCTGTAGAAACTCTTGCTTACTTTTAGGAGATTTTAGCTGGCAAGCAGTTTATTATGGTCAGAAACTTATTGTGGGCTGCAGCAAGAGTTATGGCAAAAGTTCACTGTTTCTTGGCTGCTGTTGGTAGGTTCTCCAGTATGGCCACTGTTATTGCATGACTTTTCTTCAAATTTGCTTCAAAAAATAGGGCTTGTTTGAGATTGACTGCAGCTCATTTTGATAGGTGGTGAGAGTAGCAAGTTGCAGTTGGGCTAGAAGCTGAGATCTGTCAAACTGAACAGTTTTACTCCAGCAACCCACATGAGCTGGCAGCTCTTTGTTCAATGTTTATGCCTAATGAATCTTTAAACTAGGAATGAGTCAGAATTTTTCAATTTTCAAATAACCATGAGAGTTTAAAAAATCAAAAAGTAAATTAGGAATTTGGTATACAAATTAAGTTGTTTCTAATATTTTACATTTTCATAACAACAATGAGCTGTCTGAACTCTATGCTCCACCAAAGATCAATGAGAAGCCTTACATCTTACATTGCGGTTAACGTTTCTTATCTGTTTAGTCTGAGGAAGGAAACACTGAAGAAGAAGTAAGAAGTAAGAACTAAGAAGATCTGCGCCATGCCACAGTACAAAGTGAAGTTAGTTAAGTGACCCTTATTACTCCCACAACGGGGAAATTTCACCTCCGCATTTTGACCCATCAGACCCATACACACTAGTGATCGCACACACACTAGGCAGTGAGCAGTGGGCAGCCCTATACATGGCGCTGGGGGAGCAGTTAGGGATTAGGTGTTTTGCTCAAGGGCACTTCAGTCATGTACTGTCAGCTCAGGGGATCGAACCAGCAACCTTCCGGTCACAAGGTGGGTTCCCTAAAACTTTCAGCATAATTTGGTGAATTTATCATGTTTAATATCAGTCAACTATCTCTTCACTGTTTTCAATTCACTGTTTTTTGTGATCTGAGGTGATACAAGGTCACACTTCTGGTCCATTTTCTGCCAGCCAAGCGTGCCACAACTGGTCAGGCTGGCAGCCTGCGTCAGCACTGACTCTTTTTGAATGACTGCCCAAAATCAGGCCAAATACATGTTCCCAAATCCATATGCCAGATCTGTACAGACTCTACTATAACAGGGCCAGAAACATCCTAAAATCACTGTGATTTCATTTTTCCTTTACCTAGCTGTACTCAGAGGCCTCCGAAACCTTCAGAAACAGAATCCTCAGGTTATCACACTCCTCATTCAAAGATTTGCCTACTCCACTCTTGTGATTCTAAACGTAACATTGGCCGAGTTGGTCAGAAGAACTTGTGTTAACCTAGGAGGAGTTAAAGAGTTTAAACTCTAAAAGAGAAAATTAGTTCCAGCATCTTTTAGTTTAGAATGCAGTGAGCTGAATGAAGACAGTGAGCTAGTTAGCCCAGTATCTCATACCAACTGCTAGCACAGAGTTTTAATGAGTGTAACTGCTCAGCTGTCATTACTTAACACAGTTAGCTCAATTTCTCACGGGGACCACCAGTGAGAAACCTGCTCCATGTAAGTAGAAGGATGGAGCAGGCAAGGCTTTTAGTTCAGTTTAAAATTCGTTCTACTTCATAACAAAAGGATCATGTTTAACATACGTCATAATTTTCTGTTTATACATTTCTCTTGTAAAATCGTATAAACTAGCACCGTAGGGCTTTGCTTTTTACTTCCTGCCCTCCATCTGGATTTTACACGTGATCAGAATCATGTGTCTGTAGACAATGTATTAGAGATTGTAGTACATCTGTTTTTTTTCTATAATTTGTTTACTTCTTAATCAAACATCAGGACCACCAAATAGGTATTATTTGGGAGGTGGTTTCCTTCTCAGCACTGTGGTGATATTGACATGGTATTTGTATGTTATTGAGGGTTGTGTTGGTACAAGTGGATCAGAAATGGCAATGCTGCTGGAGTTTTAAACAGTGTGTCCATTCACTGTGTCCAATTATATACCTACCTTGTTAGTCCTTTTAGAGATAAAGTTAGAGATGTATGCTCATCTGTTGCTGCCCAGTTGTTAGTTATCCTGTAGTCTTTCATCAGTGTCCACAGGACATTGCCCACAGGCCGCTGTCGGCTGGATGTTTATTCTCAGACCAGCAGATACACTTAAGTCTTTAAAGACTGCAACACCACCCATATTACCATATCAGTCACCATATCATATAAGACAATTAAAGCAGTTGTTTTCAAATGATTTCTAGTGTTGTCTTTGATATTCATGCATGCAGACAGGTAAAAACAGGTGAGCTTTAAAAATTGGTGACTTATACAAAGCAGTATGGTGCATACTGGCTTAATATATGATAATGCACATTATGTTCCTAAAACTGCACCAGACTATTGATTGTTCAGCTGCTATGTCCACTGCTGCTAATTCACTTTTGAAAACAAACCAAAATTAAAATGTGATTCAACCTTGATTCACAACACTGACTCAACCATGAATAAACTAGGAATGCCGGATGGGGTGCCTGACATACGGGCCATTTAAAGCCATAACATGGCGGATGTAGGGCAAGTAAATGGTATGGCCCTGATCTGGCAAACACCTGGCCCATTTAAGGTGAAGGTGAAGGTAAATCCTTTGGCCCTAATTTGGCCCTGATTTGGTCCAGAACACACCTGACAACACAAAACGCTTGCAGGGCGGAGAGATACATGCAGGGCGTTGGAAAAAATAGTACCCACAGAAAACGTATTTTTTAAATTTAGCAGTATTTTACCATTATCAGTGTGGCGTATAAAAACTTGGAAATTCACTGGTCATTTTGGATAGCCTGCCCTGCGATGGACTTGCGACCTGTCCAGGATGTATCCTGCCTTCCGCCCAATGACAGCTGGGATAGGCTCCAGCACCAGAAGGATAAGCGGTTTAGATGATGTATGTATGTATGTATGTATGTATGTATGTATTTTGGATAGCCGATAAAATAGTGATATTTGTGGCGTAGACATAACGTATCGACGTCTGGTTCGTAGTACTGCAATGGTGAACAAATTTGACTCAGTAAATTTCTCTAGAAAGGCGCATTTCAAAACTGAATTATTGAATGATTAAGTAATTCGTAAAATCGGTGGAGTTCCCCTTTAAAAGTCCTGTATTCCAAATGTTAGTCGAATAATTTTCTAAAAATACCTTACAAAATTCGAATAGCACATTTCACTTAAACGCCCACACCTACTGTAGGCTGTAAATCTCTCATCATTGTATCTATTCAGATACAATTATTTTAAAAACTTATTTTTTTTTTAATTAAAATGTTACGTTAATCAGGTTTGTCAAAGCTTCTTTTCGTAGTGTGGTAATTGATTAATAATACAGTTCAAAAACTGGAAATAATTTTACATATAAATTACATTCTGTATACAAGATATGCTTTTTTATTTTGCAAGACTCATCTGATGTTTTGACTCGTTTATATTTATTTATTTGTTTCTTTATTAATTTGATTGTTTGTTTGTTTTTTTTGCCAAAGCACGTTGCGAAAAATTGTTAAGAAAAGGACGTTTTAAGTACAACTTTTATTTTGAAATGTGTGCCGTACGTGTGCACGTTGCTTTTGCTGCTCGCTGTTCACGAAGTAGCAGTTTACGGCTCGGTTTTGTTCACGGTATTATTCGTTAAAGACCGAAGCTCTGTCGAATAAACGCTTTTTAAAATCCATTACTGTTATTAACCGTGCTAGGGGTAGTTTTATACCGATATCTGAGGACTACGGTGACAATCTCCGGAGAAAACAGTCTATTCTGGTAGCTGCAGTCTGTCTGTGTGTTAACCAGAGTAGTTGGCTGAAGTACTCATCAGCCGTAAACCAGCCGCTGTACTTGAGCTACATCAGCATTTGTTATTTCTAGGGAAATGCCAACGTGCTGGCTTGTTAGTGAAGATGACAGACACAAACCCATTCTGCTTCCTCACCAACAAGCTCTGATTTTGGGTCGAGGCCCAGAAACTAAGATTAAGGACCAGAAGTGCTCCAGAAATCAAGGTAACATCTCACTTCAGAAACTAAAGACAGTTTACAGGTGCTATAAACTACAAACCAAGTCCATTACACTCCATTACAAACGATTGTTCTTCGAGGGGTCTGTAGTAAAGGAAATGGTTCTTTTTAGAACGATGAGTTGTGTGTAGAACCGTTTGCATGCTTAAATGGTTCTTGCATGGCGAAATAGTTCTTCACATTTGTGGAGAATGTGTTCTGTAAGGTTCTGTATATAACCTTTTTTGAAAATGGTTCTCTGTGGCACCTAAAAGGGTACTTCTGTTGTTACGAACTATCCATCATAATCACAGAACAATTTTCAAAAAGGATGTACATAGAACCATATACAGCACATTCTCCATCAATCTGAAGAATAATTTCACCATGCAAAGAACCATTTAAGCATGAAATTGTTCTGTATAGAACTCATTGAAGAACACTTAAGACCAGTCTTTTTAATTCTACATGTAATATTTAATGCTACCAACGGATTTGTGGGATTTGTGTACTTTCTCCACCAGTCAGAACCTACATGCTGTTGACCAGAGATAGAGAAGCTTAAAATGATCTTTAATCATTTAAAAGATGTACAAGTAGCTATCAAAACCCAACTTGAGTAAAATAAATAGATAAATGAGTAAATAAAAAAGTACAACCCTGTGATGTTATTTCGCGATAACACACTCCCTCTCGTGTTCTATTGCTTAAATAACAACAGAATATATGATTTGCACATCATTGCAAAGGCTATATTTAATTGAAAATAGTACAAAGACAACATATCAAATGTTGAAACTGAGGATTTTATCTATTTTTTTTTTAAAGTATATGCCCTTTTTGAATTGTCAGCAACGTGTTTCATGAAAGTTGGGACGGGGGCATGTTTACCACTGTGTTGCATCACCTCTTCTTCTAACAACACTCTTAAGTGTTTGGGAACTGAGGAGACCAGTTGTTGTAGTTTGGAAAGTGAAATGTTTTCCCTTTCTTACTTGATCTAGGATTTCAGCTGCTCAACAGTTCGGAGCCTCCTTTGTTGTATTTTTTATTTCATAGTTCACCAAATATTTTCAATGGTTATCACCCAGACTCTTTTACTACAGAGTCATGCTATTGTAATGTGTGCAGAATGTGGTTTGGCATTTTCTTGCAAAAATAAGCAAGGACTTCCTAGGAAAAGCTGTCAGCTGGATGGCAGCATATGTTGGCAAAACCTTTAAATATCGTTCAGTATTAATGGTGCCTTCACAGATGTGCAAGTCACCCGATGTGCACTAATGCACCCCATACCATCATGGATGCTGACTTTTAAACTGTGTACTGATAACAAGCTGACTGGTCTTTAGCCCAGAAGATGCGGCATCCATTATTTTCTAAAAGAATTTCGATTTTTGATTTTTTTTGGACCACATAACACTTTTACACTTCTCCTCAGTCCATCTTAAATGAGCTTGGGCCCCAGAGAACGCAGCAGCGTTTCTAGATCCTGTTTCTATGTTTTTTGTTCTTTATGTTAGAGTTTTAACTTGGTGGATGCAGCAATGAACTGTGTCCACAGGTGATGGTTTTCAGACGGGTTCCTGAGACCATATAGTAATTTCCACTACAGAATCATGTCTGTTTTTAATGCTGTGCTGCCTGAGAGCCCAAAGATCACGGCCAGCTAGTATTGGTTTTCAGCCTTGTCCCTTACATAGAGAGATTTGTCTGGATTCTCTGAATCTTTTAATGATGTTATGTATATATTATGAGATTATGAAATTCCTAAGTTCTTTGCTGTTGTATGTTGAGAAACATTATTTTTGAATTGTTGCACTACTTGCTTACGCAACCCTTCAGATAGTGGTGAACCCCTCTCCATCTTTTGAAAGCCTCTCTGGGATGCTCTTTTTTACCCAATCATGTCACTGACCTGCTGTCAAATAACCACCAGGTGTTTTTTAGCGTTACACAACGTCTTCTGTTGCCCAATCTCAGCTTTTTTTTTAACGTGTTGCTGGCGTCAAGTTCAAAATGGGCATGTTTCAATGTCAGTTTCAACATTTGTTGTTCAGCATGTTGTTTTTGTACTGTTTTCAGTTAAATAAGGTTTAAATGATTTGCGCATTGTTGCATGCGCAAATCATTTGAACCTGTTTTCATTTACATTTTGCATAGAGTCCCAACTTTATTGAAAACGGGGTTGCACACACCTTTCTGCCCTGTCCATTCATTCAAGGTAGAGACCTATAAAGTTTTGCATTATTTTGTAGTCAGAGAAGTAGGTAGCGGCACGGTGATTTTTGAGAATGCCATTCCTTTTTCCCCAGCTTAGATCCAGATTTCCTGGGCATGTTGTCTACCACAAACAGCACAGTTTCAGAGATCTATTAAGAATGTTTCAGTCCAGACTGCTTTCTGAATGAGGCAGCCAGTCAGAACCAAGGTCATTTACATATGCCATTCTTAAGGATCACAGTATCAAAAACAGCCTGTTTAATTCCAAGCAATAAAGAATGGATAGAAAATGGTAATGTAAAATGAATTATGAGTATTTTAGTAAATAAAACCACATAAATGTCCTAAGTGGACTAAAAGAAAGATGTACGATAGGGGCTGTTCTTTTGTGGTACTTTTGGTATACTTATACCTTCCAAAGATCCATATTTTAATACTGTTACCTTCCATTTGTATTATTGATAGGTAATGTCAGGGATAGTAGGACTTGTAAGGCTAGTTGCTTTATTTTTGACTATGGCTAGTGGTTAATGAGCTCAGTCATCTTAATTAATACCAGTTTGATCTGTGGCTGTCATATCAAGTCATCACCATATTACATTTCTGCACCCTCACAGTTGAACTGAGAGCTGATTGCAACCGAGGATTTGTCACTGTGAAGCAGGTTAGTATATGCTTAGCCATTTTTGCATATAAAGCCAATGAAAACATTTTCCATTAACATAATGTTTTTACTTATCAAACAGTAATATAATAATTAAATGTAGGAACTCTTACTATTGTTGTGGTTGTATTGTTTTACAGTTAGGTACCAACCCTACAAGTGTGGAAAATGTCGTTGTGGGTAAAGGCAATCAGGTAAATTGTCCAGTGGCTGGGAATTTTGTGCCACCGGACTATGCAGTTAGGCACCTTCAAACACTACACATATTTTATGTTCACTTGTATGTGAACATAAAAAGGGAACACAGTTCCCTTTATTCATCAGAGTTGTGTGTGGTCAAATTCAGTTGTAATATTTTAACAACTTCAGAAATGCTTGAGTTGCTCCTACATCATCAAAATCATTACCAACATTAAAAAATATTTGTAATAAGATTACAAACTGTTGATGGTGATGATAAAAATAATAGCTACGAAATGATAGGTTGGAATATAGTCAAAATGTAATTGGAAATGTGAATTGAAATTTACAGGATCTTAGTCTTTAAATTGTGAAGTAGGTACAAATAGAAATCAGCCTGAAAATCAGGCATGCTATCATGGCAGATTTAGCGGTCTGAAAACAATGCTTGTGCTCGCAAAATAGTGTTTCATGACTGGGCAGATTTTTTAAATGGAGAACAAGCTATTTCTCATTAGTCTGCTCAGTGCTTTCCTATTTTTTGCATGAACTGGGATGTGCTTCATGTAAGTGATATGTATATGGAGCCAAATTGGGGCATGTCATTTGCAAATGATAAACAAGGTACTAGTGGTGCAGTAGTTTTGATTTTGTTTGTTGTGCAGATTTGTCAGTTATATTTATTTGTGAATGTCAATTTGTTACTTGTGCTGATTAATGAGTTATGTCTGCTCGTCAGTAGTTTCGATTTTGTTGGTTGTGCTGATTAGTCAGTTGTGTCGTTCGTCAGTAGCGTTGATTTGTTAGTTAGGCTCATTATTCTTAGGGATGTGTATTCCAGATTTTGATATTTGCAGGGCAGGAAAAAAAAGAACAAAAACAAAAAAAAATAATGTGGGACTGTACAAGTGACAGCACTGGTGCTGCATAAAAATACAGCAGCACTACTGCTTTGGTAGTTTTTATCAGACGGCCTTTTCTCCTCAGTGGATGCTGTGACAACATGGTATTTGTCAGAGAAATATATTTTCATTGTTTCTAGACCAGCTAACATCAGCTAGAGTAGTTAGTGGCAAAGCCTCTGCCTTCTTAGCTATATCCTTAACAACGCATCCTTGGTAGTCTGCCCATATGCAGACATTTGTGTTTGAGTAGCAAAGTGTAACATACTTAGTCGCAGTACAAGCAAAACCATCACATTTCACTGCATTGTTAGCCTGTATTCCTCTGTCTTCCTATAATGAAATATAGCAAATAACCAAATAATGATTTCAGTATTCAAATACTGGCAGCTCAAACCGTATTCGTACACCCCTACACATCCCTGATTCATCAGTTGTGCTGATTCGTCATTTGTCAATTGTACAGTTTCCACAGTTTGACAGTTCATCAGTTGTGTTGATTCCTCAGTTGTTGTTATTGACCAGTTATGCCGATTTGTCAGTTGTGCTTATTGACCAGTTGTATGGATTCGTCAGTTGTGCGTATTCGTCAGTTGTGTTTATCAGTTGTGTTCATATCACCTCTCATTTCATTGTCATATGACAGTTTAATGAATCAGGTGCAGAGTGGTCCATGCGTCATTCTGGGCACTCAAATTTGTGCTTGTTTCTATGCAACTTTGATGAATATGGGCCATTGTAACAATGATATACACAGAAATATCCCCTATGCTATTCAGTAACTGATACTGTTGTACAGGTTGCTGGCCATAACAGCCTACCAACGGCATTTCCCTCACCTCTACAACCAGGTGCCTCTAAAGAAAGGACAGAAGCTCTGCATGGTCAACCAGCTTTATCCATACACAGTACGGTTTACTGAAGATACATCCACATTTGGTTCTACTGGAGAAGGAAACAAGCCAGTGAAAAGACCCTACCAGAAAGATTCTCATGGAGATGAAAAAGAGAAAGAGAGTCCAGCCTTTAAAATGTCAACACCATCCCACACAGAACAAGCATCAAACGGTGCATCTGTGGCAGAAAAAGCAACACCACAAAAGGCAGTGAGTTTCTTTTGAGCATTTTGCAAAATTTAAAGCTGAATTTTTAGTTTTTAACTGTACCAAATCACTTAAACTTGAACCACAGCATTCATTTTCTGTGCTGTTTCTGTGTTTCTGTTGCTCAAGTTAATTTTTACACTCTGCTCGTATAAATTGAATGAAATAAAGCATTTTTACTACCTCTGTTTACTACCTCTTCACAGACTCGCTGTTTTTTGAGCTGAAAGATATGAGCAGCAATAGGCTAGGATATTAACATCAGCTGAGGCATCTTATTATCGTATCTCTGTTTACCTAAAAGACTGGCTGCCAGAATAGCCAAGCACTGCTGTGCATTGACTCGGATTTTTAGGCGCTGTGAGTAATAGTTGTAAGAGTCCGTGGCCTGAGTTGCCATTTGCCTTGGTCATTTTAGTAAACCACAAACTGGCCATCAGCTGAATTTGTACAAATTTTTCATTTTGATATGTTTCACAAATATCCACCATTAATAACAAAACTGAACTTATTTGGTCGGACAGAACCAACCGAATCAAATCACATTTTGCAGGAATTAGTCATCTATAACGTTACATTGCAGTAGCTTCAGGCATAACCAAAGCCTGAAGAAGATGAAGGTCAGCGGGATTGATGGATCAGAGGGATTGAATGATAAAAATCTTCAGTCCGGCTGACTATATTCTGTAAAATGAAGATTGCTTCACATCATTCCCTAGTTTGACTGGTGTAAGTAATGTAGTCACTTCCCAGCAAATCATATTTAGGAGCTCAGGGATTTACACTTCTGTCATGAGAGTGAACAATTGAAGTGTCTTCAGGAGGTTTTGCACTGGTTGTAGACTGTTTACTGTCGCTATCGCTGTATCTGTGTAGTTTCACACCATGTCTCTGAACATTATTTTCCACAGGAACCTGCAGGCCATTGGAGTCAAGGTCTAAAAGTCTCAATGCAGGACCCAAAGATGCAGGTACGGTGCAAGACAAGTTTAACTCAGCAAGCTTAGATTGACCATTCAACCTGAATTGTTGAAGACAGTGATGGAAATAAGTTCATAACAAAAATTAAATGTGTTTCTCATCGACCACAGTGATTCCTGACAAAAAAAACCCTGAGAGTCGGACAATTAAACAGTTTCTGCAGCCTTTGAGTACCACGCTTGAGAGCTGGAATCTAACAGAAAACATAAAATGACTTTTGGGGCCATAGAGTTATTCCTTCTCAAATACCAATAATATAGGGGAGCATGGGGCGCAAACTAATGCAGGGGAAAATGTAATATTATATTTTGTGTAGTAGAATAGTTTCAGGTAGAATGTGCTTTTGATCCCCCTCTCATATTCTTATAGCAAAGTTACCTGCAAATTTTCATAGCAGTCGGACAGATATTTCTCAAGATTCACCCTGAAGACTGTTTTTGTATCATAAATGTTGCTTTTTTTTATTATACATCTTTTGTGACTGTTGAAATGTATGTATAAGTCACAGAATTTAAAACTTTATTTTATTTGCTCTCAGGGTGGTTATAATATTGTATCATTTTAAAGCATCTAAATAACTCACAATGAGAGCTTGCCAAGCTAAAGGAGAGCCCCATACGAAGATGTTAGTTTAAACGCGCTGTTCCAACTGAGTCCCTTGCAGTAATCAAAGAGAGCAGTCCATATAACCACATAGAAATTCAAGACACTTTTTAGCCAATAACACTTCAGCTACTCATGAGGAAAACTGCAGCTTTTGCACTGCTCCCACTTTTGGCACAAACAAAATGTTAGGTTGTGCCCTGCTGCCTGCTAACAAGTTAATACATTAGCTATAAATATTATCAGTGATGACATTGTACATTGTAGGTCAAGACACTGCATTACATCATTAGGAAAGTACATTTGAAGCAAAGTGCACATTTGAAGTTATTACATTATTGGGTTCTTCATGCATCTATTTTTGTCCCCAGGTGTATAAAGATGAGAAGGTAGTGGTGATCAAGGATAAATACCCAAAGGCACGGTATCATTGGCTGGTGCTGCCGTGGGAGTCGATCTCGAGTCTGAAAGCTCTGAGGGCAGACCACTGTGAGCTACTAAAACACATGCAGACAGTGGGGGACAGGATGATAAAGCAGTGCCCCGACGCCCAGAAACTGCGCTTCCGCCAAGGCTATCATGCCATACCCAGTATGAGGTCAGTAAGGATCCTTCATTATTACATTTAGGGTATTTTAATTACTTTTATTCTAGTAGTGAGTGATTTATTGGGTAGAAAAGGAACACTTATTACAGTTTTCCCAAAGAATTGTGCATTGATAGCTATAAGCCATGAGTTACCACAGTTTAGGGATGTTTTAGGCACGATACAAAGCAGAGTTCATTTTTAATAAATTGACACAGTTAATTTAGAATTGAATTGCAGTTTTAAACTTGGCGTAGATCATATTTTAGAATCAGAACTAGCATTTGTATATCACCGTGATCTGCTTTAATAAGGTTTAACAAATCATGCTGGTTCCTCGTTCTTACCTTTGCATTTGCAGTCATATTCACCTGCATGTGATAAGCCAAGACTTCGACTCTTCTTGTCTGAAGAACAAAAAACACTGGAATTCATTCACCACTGACTACTTCATCGACTCTCAGGGTGAGTAAGAGCTCTGTTCAGAACGTTAATAGAACAGTCACTTTGTTTCAGACTGAACCTGAAGTGTAAGTACTTCAAGAAGGCTGACATTTTGAAAATTAATTGAAAAAAATGCTGCTTAACATGTGTTCACTCTGTATTTAATGACAGGCATTGAAATAACTTCATTAATTCTTAAACATTCCTTATTTTGGATACACACGTTGAAATCAAACACTCAACAAAAACATGAAAAAATTTTCCAAAGAGTTCTGACAAAACAGTGAAGAAACAAATTTAGGGTATGGCTATATTTTGTAAAAGTTTTTCCTACTTCCAGTTTTGTGGACCCACTGCAACAAACTGTGGTAATACATTTTCCACATGAGCTATGAGCCCATGAGTTTCTAAGTGTGTCAAAGAAATTAAATTGACACAATTTTCCCCTTCACGTAAAACATAATTCAAGAGACGCTTGGGGTCTGAAGTTATGAGGCTGAGAAGCAATGAATGCTTAGGCTATTTTGATTTGGCGTAGTTTGATTTAGGCATGCTGTTTGCACAGTGGATGAAATCTTCCATTACTACTTAGCTACAATAGTAGTAGCTCCAGTGAAAAACTGAAGAAGCAAATTTTAGACACCAAACATGTCTTGGCTGAATAACTACATTTTAGGTCAAGGGAAAATGGAGTATATTAGTATATTATTTTTTGCCAAACTGTCATTAAGGCTGGAAGCATGAGCTGCTTTCCTCAATACTTTGTAGGCAAGCAAGTAAAGTCTATATGAAGAAGGATGCCATTTTGACTCTAATATTGGATGTTTCCTTTGTAGAAATCATTGCTATGTTGGAGCGAGATGGAAAAGTGAGCGTGAAAGAAGGCGTGGGTGAGCAGTTGAAGCTGCCGTTGCGTTGCCATGTTTGCCGCAAAGAGCAAGCTACAATACCGAAGCTGAAGGACCATCTCAAAATTCATTTGCCTTCCTGAAACTTTCCCAAGCCAGTCAAAGTTCTGTTGAAAAGAAGAGACCTGCACTATATGTAGCTATACATAAATAATGGAGAGTTTTAAAGTAATGTTTATTTGCTTTATAGATAAATGGTCCTGTACCTGTAATACTCCAATAAGGCATTTAAGGGTTCCTAGTGTTTGGTTACATTAGCATTGTTGCTTAGTATTCTGCTTTACAGTTTGTCAGTATGTATATAATTAGACCCTAACTGAATTAAAATGTTTTCATTTACAATTTTTTTCCTTGTCCCTAACACTTTAATTAACATACAATAAGTACTGAATAATGTTTTCAGCACAGTATGGCACAACTCAGATATCAGGTTTCCTTCACTTAGTCAAAACAGCCATGAAGTTCGGGAGACATTTCTGAGGAGATTAGATACAAGATAATCCATTTGCGTTAGAAAGGAGAAAGTCAGGAAAATGAGTGGGGGTAAAAGGAGTTTTCAAAACTGGAATTAATTTCCTTTAAAAAGATACAGAGAAAAAGGGATTCCATCAACCGGACCTTGTAGACCACCAAAACTGTCTGCATCATCTTTGAGAAGAGATAAAAACAAGCACCACTCTTGCTTCTGATAAAATCCACAGGTGTTTCTGTCCATCCTTCCACTGTGAGAAGACAATTCAGCACTATGGGTCTGAAAAGGTGTGTTGTTGTTGTTAAAACGCCTTTACTGATAAAAGGAAAAAGATTATCTTGTAAATCAAACAAAATACTGATGTTTTCATAAAGGGCAAAGACAAAGGGAGAACATTTTAAATACTGAGAAGTGCTGGAAAAAAATTTTTTTATCAAGGCTTATGTGTAATTTTATGTTTTTCCATGATGCTGAAAAAGGAACATCTTGCACTTAATGCTGTTTTTAATGAAAATTGAGTATCACACCAAAAAAGCAGAGACAACATTTTTTAGTGTTTTTAAAAACATTGATGTACACAAGTTTTTATACATTTTCTTGTTAATTTCTATGCTTATAAATATGAAAATGAGCATGTATTACAACCAGTGACAGAAGCCCCAGTTTCTGACAATATGTGTCTGGTGCATCAAGTTTATTACCAGCTTATGTAGGCTTTTTTGTTCCTATAATATTACAAATACTTCCTAAGTCTTAACCCACATTAATTACTACAACTGTGTTGCTTTGGATCTTTGTTAAAAATGCCACTGATGTAGGTCATAAACCTTTAACCACTTGACACAATGTCTCACTTTCTAATGGAAACTGTTGAAAGCTTAAAGGACCTTCTACAGCATTTAATTTTGTTTATACTTTTTTTCAGCATGGATTCAGCGTTGCAAACTAAAACGCTTTTCAGTCTTTTGCCCATATATATGTAACAGTTACCTAGGACTATTAATATTCCCATGATCTATTTTCCATACTCTGCTAATGTACAAGTCATTTCTTTTTTTCTGGAACTGAAAGCAAAGAGGCCATCTTGGCATAAGGGAAATGCCAATATTGCTTGCCTATGATTGTTATAAATAACAGCTGCCAATCATGTATGGAGTGAATCATATATGGCTTACTAGAAATAAACTAAGACAGATGGCGTAAACAAAGATATAACAAAAATATAATGTAACGATAACAGGAAAAAAAAGGTAACAGTTCTCAAACTAAACCCCCTGAATTACAAAATTACTTCTTACAGTTCCAAAAATATACAAAACATTATTGCTAAAAACCATCAAATATTCATTTATACAAAAAGGCTATCAAGAAAAGTATGCATAGATGTCACACAAGTGCTTAATTACAAACTCAAAGTAATTAAGCATATAGTGAGAAAGTCCCTGGAGTGAAGATCTGGTAGCGTTCCTCAGTAGTAGCACCTGTTGGAGGCATAATGGTGTCAGTGGCCAAATCGCATCACGCCAACGTCCCACCACGGGTCTGAAACACAAACAGTACATACACTTTCCAATTATCAATTTGCCAACAGTCAACAAATTTATTGACAACTAGTTTAACCACAGAAATATTTTCCAAAATGTTCCACTGGTTTACAGTGATGTACTCTTACTCAAATGCATTCTGTGAGAAAATCTTACACACTCTGTTGATAAGTGTTTTACATTCACCACTTTTTTAAACTATTTACAAACTCTAAATGTAAGACACTTGATTTCATCAAGCCTTCAGGAGCATCTAAATGGGGAATGAATTCCACAAGAACTTACCATAGGTTTCATTTCCCTGCTGTTTCCACCTGCTGCTCTCTTATCCTCGGCCATTGCCTTCTTGCTGCTCTCCACAAACTCCTATACAGCAAAGTCGAAAAAGACAGCTTTTAACACTCTTTTACAGAGGTGCCCAAACTGAAGTGCAATAATTATGGTGGGTTAAACTAAAAAGACAAATAATATAATATAACTCCCATTGGATGAAGGATAGGGTTAGGGTAGCTTTCAGGTGGGTCAAATGAAATGGCCTTGTCGCCCAACTTGGCCCACAGGCCACACTTTGTTATAGTACAGGGCTACTCAGTGCTGCATACTGCATTGACATGTTGTCTTTGACACCAAGAAAAGCAGCCAATCTAAAGTATTTATGAAGAAATGACAAATGCTAATAGCTAATGTTAAGCCTTGTTTTTCACATTATGTAAATTGTCAATTAATACCAAACATGATGAATTCACTAAATGTTGAAAACATTACCATCAGCTAATTAAAATCAGGGTTGCTGCAGTTTTTAAAATCAAATCCAACCAAAAAATAATACCATTTCCACTGCACAACAACACACACACACTCAAATATGGCATGGCTGTAGTTTGAAAATTAGGGGGTTTATATATACCTGAAGTCAGGGGTTCCCAATCCCAGTCCTGGTGACCCTTTGCTCTGCACATTTTTGTTGTTTTTCTACTCTACACACCTGACCCAGCCAACAAGGTGCCTGTTAATTAGTTAATGAATTGAATCAGGGGTGCTCAGTGAGACACAGCACAAAAATGTGCATAGTGTTGGGTGGCCAGGACTGGGAACCTCTGCTTTAAGATGCCACATAGCAGGCATTTCAAACTGGGGCCCTTTCGGGCCAAAGTGCAGCAAAGATTAGGGTTTACCCTCATCTAACACTCTGAATTCAGTTCATGAAGGCCTAGCTAATTAGCTGATGAGCTGAATCAGGGTTGTTTAATGAGGCAGTGTGACAAAGTCTGTAGTGTTTTAGCCCGAGGACTGGAGCCTGACGTGTTTTATGGCAATGGCCACCAACCCTCCCTCCTGGAGATCTACTTTCCTGCAGTCTTTAGCTCCCAACTGCATCTAACATGCTCTCCTGGCCCTCAGGTAACGCTAAGGAATCTGATCCAACCAATCTAGGAATTCTGAAGATATTAATGAACCGGAGCAGGTGTGGCAGATTGTAGTTGGAACTAGACTTTGCAGCATGGCAGACCTCCAGGGCCAAGGTTGGTGATCACTGTTGAAAGCAAAGAACCCCTTTGACACTTATTTGTAATAGAGTTTGCCAAATGATAAAATACGCAGTACAGCAATTTTCAGGATCAGGGTTATGATCTGTTGTTGCAATGTCTTAAATTGTTTAATTTAGGTTATGTTACTTGGTTCATTCAGATTAAAATACCTTGCAAATAAGGGATTTGTTAGGCAGCTCAGTCAAAAGATAACTGTTAGATTGAGTACACAGCTCAGGCAAGAGTCTTCTCTCATGTTCTACTAATAACCCATTCTCAAATGAGGCTGTATGTCTGAGAATGAAGCTACAATAAAATTAACATGTAGAATGAAGTGATCATACCTTGATGATTTTTTTAAAGTAGACAAGTGTCTAGCTTGTAATATTTAAATTTACATTAAAATTTGTCAATAAAATAAAAAAATACTAATGATGAGTTTCCAAACTTTTGAATAATAGTGTATAAAGAAGAAGAGGTGTTATCACTCACAGTCAGAGGTTGGTATTTATAGGAAGAACCACATAGTAATTGGGATTTGGCTATGACGAATTTTGGAGTTGAGTAAAACTAATTTATCAGGACAAAGGTTTACGTTACCATCAGGGCCTTGTCCATGTAATACTCGCTGCCTGGGCTGCCATCGTTATATTTGGTGTCGATGGCGAAGCAGAGGAACAGCACATCCACCACCATCTCGAAGATGGAGAGAAAGCAGTGGGCCACCAGGAACGCAAACAGACACACTATGATGAGTGGCAGCACCCACACTGTGTACTCTCGCTGATAGTTCAGCGCCAGCACTCCGGCAAACGCTGTGCATGACACAATCAGGACCTGGAACCCAAAACCACCACATATTAGAAATACTAGTTTGGATTCAGTATTGTGCCCAATGATGCTGCTGCTTCGCTACCTTCAATTCAGAACAATAATGAACAATACTTATAGTACTATATACATCTAATACATAATTAGATAGAAACTATTTTAAAAAATAGTTGATCTGCCAAGACATGTTTGGGGTCTGAGGTTTGATTTGTGAGTAATTACATGACCAACAATTGGCATAATGCAAAATGAAAATCATACGCTACTCATGTTTTTAGCCATACAGCATACTTTGTCCATTTTTATAGCTGTCCTACAGTGTCAAACCATATAAGCAAGTCTTTTTGAGATTACTTTATAACAATGCAGGGATTATACCTTTCCTTTGCTTGTTAGCTCCAGGGCAAAACTAAAGAATTACACTTGAGGGGCTCCCAAGTGGTGCAACTGTCTAAGCCAAGTGTGAGGGCCAGAGACCAGCACAGTTTGACGATTTTCCTGGGCAAATACACCAACTGAACCTAGTAACCTAATGTGTTGTATTTGCGTTTGAGCAGGCTAGTTCTCAATACTTAAAAAAAAAAAACAAAAAAAAACTGTGGAGGTATTTGGCTCTTCAGAACAGGAGTTTCCCACTCTTCGTCTTAGCCTTCACTCTAACATCAGGATCAAACTTGCAACCTATAGCCATCCATGGTGGGCCTTGTTCTCTCTGGGTGGGTAGGATGGCTCTTACTCCCCTTTACCCTATTGGCAGTTAGCATTCTCCTCTAAGCTGTACAATGGCATTGCTTTAGTGGCAGTTTGAAAAGATGTGCTGGCAGATCTTGAAGAAAGCACATATTAGCCGTACCCTCAAACTATTCAGTGCTCCTGTATGAGGTCATACCTTTCCTAAAAATAGGACGAAGTCTCCAACGGAATTGATTGTAGCCACACGAAGTGCATTCTCAGCAAGGATGAAGAAGGCATCTCGGGCAGATGTGCAGAAGCTGGTGCTGTTAATGGCAGTTGCTACATATGCGTTCTTAAGAGAGTAAGAACAGTTTCACTTAAAAAGTTGTACTCTAATCTTAAAGAACACCATGAAAACGAATACAATTGATAGAGATGTAAGTTTACAAATAACAGTTTAAGTCTGAACATGTAACAGGGTTATTAACATAAAGGACAAATAACCATTTGTCATTTGCTTAAATTTTCTCAAGTAGATCACTATATCATGTGTTAACGGCTGCTGCCGTCAGCAGTGTTGACACAGCCAAAAGCCGTATCAAGCTCTAATAGCTTTCAGAGTCATAAGTAAACTTGAGCTGTGTTTGCTTACTTGATTCAGGTAGCTGAGGCACTTCTCCAGACACCACAAGCAGCAGACACAAGCTTTCACCATGCATCGAGCACAGCTATTCTCCTAGGAAAGAGAGCAGTACACCAGGTCGTCTAATAATACTGCATTAATACTTTGAAAACATTTATAGAAATTGTGTATTAAATTTGCACAATTTGGATTATGGAGACAACTTTGTACATTATGTGTTAGACTCACGCTGCCTTTCAGCTGATTGTGGATGTAAGTGAGGATGAGGCGTGGTATCTCCACTAGAGTGATGATGAAGGCTCCTTTGGCCACCGTGCCCAGGTGATAGCGCATTACTGACATCACAGAAGACAAGATGGGCGTCAGAGGCAGCTGAGATTTATCTCTGCAATCAAAAAGGAGACATTACATAATGCATAATGAAACTATATATCCTTTGATTATCACTAACATTTGAAGTGGCTATTTGAAGATGAGTACTATGTAAAAGTCTCAGACCAGCCAAGGTGATGATCTGTCTGGGCACAAGGTATGTAACCAAGTATTAGATGGTAAGTACAAATATGGAGCCATATTGAGGAGAGGTTTGGAAAAGGTTCAGCTAACACACTGACATATATACATTTATTATATTAAATAATAAATAATAAAATAAAGCCTTAATGTTCAGGGCTAGGTTTACAAAAAGCATCTCAGCACAAAGAGTGCTCTTAAATGCAATCATCACGCATGTGGTTGCCATGAGCCAGAATCTATTTAACTGCACAAAAAAAAAAAAGATACATAAATAATGATAGTGACATCTGACCTGGTAAAGTAGTATGTGACGACCGCCCCTGCTACAGTCATCTGTTGGCAGGCCAGAATGAACTCGCTGATCCATATGAGACCAACCGCATGGTACCACACCATATACTGCTGTGGCCCATCCATCTTGAACTCCACCAAACCAGTTTGGTTATTCTTTACTGGATTTCCTGTGGATGTAAAATATCATAGTGGCATTAAGATGAACTGTGTTGACACTTTCAATACACTACATTCGGTTCTGGATATTGATATAGCAGTGTATGATAGATGCAAGCTGGCTTGTGGTGGAAAAGTAGCATCTAGCTCTGATATGGTTTTCAGAGTATATATAAAAGCTGCAAAACTCAAGCATCATTTTTCATCTCTCATTTTATCAACAAAGAAAACCAGCAGGAACTCCCCTTTCTAGATGTTCGCAGACATAGGCATTCAAGTGTAGGCTTTCCTATTAACACTATTCTTATACATTTCTATATAAAAATATGCAAATTAGATTTTGGCCCATTCTAAAGCAAAGTATTAATTCATGAATCCTTTGGAAATTAATCAACTGACTATAAATAAACTAATAATAACTTTCATGATAGCACTTTGCATGCGTAAAGAATAAATGTGTAGAGAATGTAAAACTTGGTGCATAATGGGTCATGATGCAGGATGATACTCAGGCTCCTGCATGTTTGAGACCACATACACATCTCAAAATCTCAAAAAGATCTACCAGCTGGCTTGAAAAAAAAAAAATCTAGGGGACCAACTGTTTATTAACAAACCTGCTGTTCCGAGCAAGAGGAGTACAGTGATCCAGTAGACCCAGAAAAGCATGAGGGTCAGGAATGTCCAGAAAGGCTGCAGCACCAGCAGAGGCAAGTGGCCAAACACTTTACTGGCCACACGAAACAGAGCGATGGTCAGAGCCACTCGTTTCCTCATGAAGAACATCAGCAACAGCAGGACCAGCTAAAAGATTACGGGTAGATATGAATATGCATATTAAGACACTTTTGGTGTTGATGTGTTTCTGGCATCTGCCAACTGAGCACACTGAAACATGTTGATAAGAGCACTGTATCTTAATTAAACATGCCAAAAAATCTTATCTAATCTTTGTCAACAAAACACATTTTAACTGTCCTTTAACAGGAGCAAGGACTGTACCGTGAAGATTGTAGCTGCTATGGCATAGATGAGCAGAGCTTTCTCGTTATCTTTAGCCACCTGCAGTTCATTAGCAGGCAGTGTGGTGTTGGCAGATACCCTGTGATCCACATAGAGCCACCAGAGGACTCCAGTTCCACCTGAAAGAGACAGAACAGCAGTATTTCAAGAAAAAGGCAGTGAGAGTGTGGCATAATTTACAATCATTTCTGTCTCATGTTCTCATATCTGAGAATTAACATTAGCAGAGGAGAGTCAAAAAGCTGTACATTAAAGGACTTCCTCTACACTACCAATGTGTCTAAAAGTTTGTAGACACCTGCATTATTTATGGACACAAGAACATTAGTAAGGTCAGTTACTGATGTTGGGATGATTGGGTCTTGATCACAAAGACCAGTCCAACTCATCCCAAAGGTACTGTAAGGTGCTCCACCACTCCAGAAAATGCAGCTCAACTGCCCCACAGTCCAATGCTGAAGGGCCTTATACCCCTCTAGCTGACACTTGGTACGGGGCATGATGACCTTAGCCTCATGTGTGGCTGCTCCAGAGCATCCTACTTTACTGGTCAGTGCTTTTCTGTGGAGATTATAGAAGCTGTATGCGTGCAACTGAATGCCTATGTCAGCAATAGGAGTACCTTAAAGTAGCTGACTTCGCTAATTAGAAGGTGTCTACAAGTTTTGGATGTATAGTGTATTTTAAAGGGTCCTAGACTCTTTCTTGCTTTTTTGAAACAAAAGAGTTTGATGTACAGCCTACAGAGGTTTAGTATATACGTTTTATTTCACAAAAATAATTTGTGTCATTCTTAGTGATAGAGATCAGAAAATGGTTATGTAAACATTTATTTTGTTGGCATATAAAACCACACAAACATCACAAATGGACCTCAGGGGAAAATAAGAAGACGTCACTTGACCAAATATCCTAACATCGTTAACAACACATGAAAGTAGTAGCCACTAATTCGCAGAGATTCACATACTGCTAACTGGATGCTACTCACTTTCATTAGTCGCCAATAGCACTAGCTTTTTTTGGCTTAATCCTTCAAAAAATGGCAACTAGAAAACCATACATGTAAGATTTCCAGGCGTTTAATCTCATGTTTTTTTGTGCTATCTGTAACAAAGTCACAACATTATAATTGCACCTAATTAGTTTGTGTGTGCATACCTAGGGAACCGAGCACCACGATGGCTGTTAGAAGCCACACCAGAAGTGCTGAGATGAAGCGGATCACTCCCATCAGAATTACGGACAGAACTGCAGGGGACACAAGAGTGATACATGTAAGTGAGTGGTAAAGAGCCAGGATATTATCTAAACAACCTAACTTTAGCTTACTTTCAGCATTTTGTATTGTGTGACGCGCTTAAATTGGGAGCACGACTGTGCACCTGCTATTGTTTGTCTACCTCAGCAATACAGCATGCCCTGTAAATAGGTTTTGCTAAATTGGGACACGGCTAGCGTACCTAGCGAGAGCAGACACAGCCCCATAATGATCTCCTTTGAGGTCATCACTCCGGTAATGAGCCTGTGCAGCACGCTGTTGTCACTCACAAAAGTGATGAGCGCCTCAGCAAACTTGGCATAGCAGGAGATATCTGCCGGAGTGCAGCGGTGGAACACTGGCAAAGACTTACTACACAGGGAAAGAACAGATTAGCAATGTTTATGAGTCACAACAAGTGGTAAAAGATCCATTCAAAACTTTAAAATCAATATTTTCTAAAATTTAAAATCCATTTTGTTGCAGATACATGCATAAAATGATTTTATGTAAAATTATATGCTGCCAGCTTTCACATTTCAAATGATTTTCAAGCCGTGAAACAAAAACAAGCTGTGAAAAAAAAAGTTTTAGATGTGTTCAGAAGGAATTACAAAGCTATAGATAATTCTAAAATGACAAAAAATCTCTATAGAATCCAACATGAGATTTTAATAGAATTCTTATATAGAATGCTTCATATTTCAAAAGTAGCAATCAAATCCTGAGGCAATTTATTTAAAAATGATAATTATAGTAGTTTCTAATATCATGTGAAAATAAAAAAAAAAACAATAGTTGTTCATACTGATCAAATATGTTCCTTTTTCTGTTAAGAACTATCCATGACAATTAATTCCAAATCTTTTCATACAGTAAAAAGGCTAATGACATTGCTATGTGTAATTTAACATATGAACATTTGTATTTTTTTTCAAAATTGTTGGTATAATATGGTCAGCATATTTGCCTTGGAGGAACTGGAAGTTTGGGGCATTTTGTAGCCTTGTTTGGGTCATCACTGTATCTCTCAGGAGTCAGTTCATAGGAGCACAACTTAGAACCTTCAAACAAACAAACAAAAACAGGTACTTTAGTCATATCATTCCTTTAATCGTGTTACAGGTTTGAGTGAAATTTTTATATTTAGGGTCCCAGCTAAGGATTTTCAACTAATGCCTGACTTTCACATTTTTTTATGATGCTTAAACTTACTAACTATATGGTACTGAACTTTCATCTGCAGAAACAACTACAGTTGCAACTATAGTTTACTAGTGGAAAAAAAACTAAGTAAACAAGTTGACTAATACTTATACAGGATATATTAAAACTAGGTTTGCGATTAATATAGTGCTAATTTTGGATGAGCTTTGACACTAATGTAGCAATATTGATTAAAACCAGTGCAAACTGATCACTGTTCTTACTTTGAAAAGTTTTAGTCACTGTCATAATATAACCGCACATCTCTGAAATGGGAACTTCAGAATAAGGAAAAAAAGTTCATAATTTTTAATGCAAGTTAATATAATGAGATTCTATCCAAAATGTTCAAATCATGGACTTTTCACACAATGTAAAGGGCAGCTGGTGTTTTCAAATCATGTAAAAAAAAAAAAAAAATAAATAATAATAATAATAATAAGTGGAGTTATGAGGTTTAGACAATAAGAATGACATTTCCTCAACAGTGTAAACACTGAAAGGACTCCACAGAGGCAAGTCAGTGCTAACCGTTGGTGAATGCAAATTTTCTGAGGTCATCATAAGTTTGGAGTTCTGTCTCTGGGCATCTGAAGACGCAGAGGGCTACAGAGTTGATCTTCCTTTTCACTATGTCAATGTTGCATGGATCCAGGAAAAAGACGTACCTGCAATGTAAGTGTAAAACTGGATCAGCAAATACAGACTAGGAGGATTTTCAGAAAAAACGTATTTTTATTGTATGTTAAGGTAACAAGATTTTATTCAGTATCAAATAATTTTGGACCATTTCTATTCACCCATTTGTCATAACATTACACAATGTAAATAGCTGCTGTTATTTCAAATCGTCTAAAATATACAGAACAAAAAATGATGGAAGAAGTTCTATGTTTTTGGACAACTAAAATATAAGTATTAGATTCTTCTCTATAAATTAAGCAATAAAATTATAGCCCAGTGTATAAAGTTCAAATACTACAACCCAAATTCTAGAAGTTGTAACGCTGTGTAAAATGTAAATAAAAACGGAATGCAATGATTTGCAAATCTTATAGATCCATGTTTTATTCACAATAGAACACAGAACACATCAGATATTGAAAGTGAGACATTTTACCATTTCATGAAAAACAGTAACTCATTTAAAACTTGATGGCAGCAACACATCTCAAAAAAGTTGGGACAGGGCCACGTCTACCTTTGTGTAGCATCCTCTCTTCTTTTAGCAACAGTCTGTAAATGTCTGGGAAGTGAGGAGACCAACTGCTGCAGTTTTGGGAGAGGAATGTTGTGGATTTCACAGTGAACTCTGTTCACAGACAATGATTTCTTGAAGTGTTCCTGAGCCCATGCAGTGATTTCCAGTACAGAATCATGCCTGTTTTCAATGCAGTGCCACCTGAGAGCCCAAAGATCACGAGCATACAATACTGACCGTTGGCCTTGTCCCTTGTGTACAGTGATTTCTCCAGATTCTCTGAATCCTTTGATGATATTATGTACTGTAGATGGTGGGAAATCCAAAGTCTTCGCAATTTCACACATTTTTCTGAAATTGTTCCACAATTTTTAGAAGCAGTTTTTCGCAGTTTGGTGAACCTCTGCCCATGTTTGCTTCTTAGAGACTCTGCCTCTCTAAAATGCTCTTTTTATACCCAGTCATGTGAGTTAATTGCAGATTGTGTCTCCAGCTGTTTTTTATTAGTACCACTTACTTTTCCAGCCTTTTGTTGCCCCTGTCCCAACTTTTTTGAGATGCGTTGCTGCCATCAAGTTCTAAATGAGTTAATGTTTTTCATGAAATAGTAAAATATCTCACTTTCAACATCTGATATGTGTTCTATGTTCTATTGTGAATAAAATATGGGTCTATGAGATTTGCAAATCATTGTGTTCTGTTTTTATTTATATTTATTTACATTTTACACAGCGTCTCAACTTTTTTGTAATTGGGGTTGTATGATAGTAGTGCATCAGTGCTAAATACTGTTGAGTAATTTGTTCTTGAAAAAAAAACTTTTGCCTTAAAAAAAGAAATGTAAATAAAAATTACTTACAGTTACTCAACAATAAGAGTACAGCTGTCGCTGAGTGAACTTCTCTGTGAGGTAATCCATTAACCTAGTGATCCCTATCAGATTAAACCACTTACTTCATCAAGCAGGACACATGTCTAAACCAGTGACTCATGCACACACTTTTAGACACGTAGCAAATGTAGCAGTGTTTTACCCCAGTAATGCAGCTAAGGGTAGAAGAGGGTTTTTCACATGGCTTTTGACCTGCTTTGCTTACCTTGAGGGCAAATACAACAAGAAATGACAAGAATTTTATCAGATCTACTTCATCTCATCTAATAAAACAAGTGCTCACACTGAAACTCAATATACGTCAAAGTAGGGGAGTCCACAGTGTGCTGTGTCTGCAGTGACACAGCACAGACTCTTATCAAGTCCATCAAGAGCTGAAACTGTGTGTAAGAACATGTTATACAACAGTTAGTTCACAGCCTGCAGCTTGATTGGTTGAAAAGCATTCTACCTGTGTTGTTATATCTGATGACAGTATTTTTTCACCACACTGGTATAATTCCACTGACATCCACTAGTTTTTTGTCAAAAGAAGATGGCAGCTGTGCAATATCAAGAATGGTTGGTTGGTTTGTTGATGGCTTTTTTTTAACCCAGTGTTTCCCTCAATTTAATCATGGCCAATTTCTATGTGCTGCTTGGTCTCCTCCCTGTCAAATGACACTATCACGATGGGAGAAGGCTAGCTTGAGTTTCCTCCAATTCATTGATTTGTGATGTCACAGAAATCAAAACATTTACATATATCTACTTACAGCAGTTTAGCTCCACCCATTCACGCTTAAGTTATAAGAAGTGTTTCAGCCTGGACTGCTTTATGAATGAGGCACAATATGGGATAGCCAATCAAAATACAGCTCATTTACATTAATTAGTCTGAAAGGCACAGTAACAACAGCAGCTTGTTTAAGGCATAATGAGATGTTGGAAAATGGTCATGTAAAATGAATTACAACTGCTTTTTGTGCACACAACCACACAAACATGATGAGTACAACACAGGGATAAAATTAAACAGAAGAAAAATGTAGGACATGTCAACTAGCTGGGGCTGCCCAAGGGCTGTGCTGGGTACGAGCTTACTGTTTTCCCTGTTTTAATAAACCTGATTTACCTCATCACCGTCATTTCAGGCCTTTCAAGAAGGCAAATAATAAACAGTGTTGTGACTGTCCAAGACTGGTCAAAAAAACAAAGATTTTGCACACAGAGGGACTTCAGTTCTACACTTGCAGCAATAGCAGAAAAAAGAAAAGTAGGCAATAGAACATAACAGCTATTTTTATGGGCCTAAATAGGTGCCTCTGAGAACAAGGCAGGCAATAAAAGAAGAAAGCAGAAAAGAAAAAAAAAAAGAGAAAGCATTTTATCTTTCTTTTGCTCACTTCTTTAAAGTTTGGTCCTGGCCGCTGTGCTCGATCCCTGGGATTTCGGTGTTCTTCTGTCCGCAGATGTTTCCGTAGCTGTCATAGCCTGATATGAGTCTGGAGGCCGCTCCCGTTGATATTGCGAACCCGCAAATGAAGAGCTACCAAGGACAATTAAAAACACACATCTAATCACATCTCTATAGCCATGCAATCACATGCAATCTGAACACATCTGTATCACAATATATCCACAATGCCTGCTATATAGAGGCATGTTAAACTTCTGAGCATAGGCTTTCAAATGCCAGTCTTTGACCAGTTAGGGTTAGATGAAACATCTGCATGTTCTGTGTTAACTAATAACATTTGTCTAAAATCAGGGGTGTCCAACTCTAGTCCTGGATTGAAATCCAGCATAATTCTGGCTCAAACACATCAGATTCAGCTTATCACTCCATAAAAAAGTTTTTGTCCTCACTTCATAAGACAGCCAATGTAATCAAGCAATATGAGGATTGCTGCACTACCACTACTGCCAATTGTATGATCATTCAGTTTTTTTTAAGGTACACTCCAGCCAGGAATACCCCCTCTGATGACATGTTGAAGGTTGGAGGAACATTTAAAAAACTATAACTGTCAAACCCCACAGCTAAAATGGTGCATTTGGGAAGCTGATACTTGTACTTCATCCTCACTTCCAGCCTTAGTAACAACCAATTTACCACTACTCACTTTGAATTGAGGCACTTTGGCCTCTCTGGATTTTCTAATCTAGTCCCATTTGTAAAAATCATTTTATTCCTGCAATTATGGATCAGGTCTTTAATGATTGACATAAACAGGGCATCAGTAGATATGCAGTTTTATACATTGATGGAGTCTTTGCTTCTTTTTCTGATCTTTCAGTTAAGTTTCAGTTACCACCCTTGTTTTACTTATACCTTCAAATTCAGAATTTAATGCATAATCAGTGCCCTTACTTTCCCTCTCTGCCACCTAAACCTTCTTCGGTAGATATTCTCATATTACCCAACATAAATTAATTTCATGGATTTATAATAAAATTACTCCTCTCTATAATATGTGTTTTGAAAAAATGTTTACAGCTTTAAATGAAGAGTTGGGTTTGGTCATACCTGATGAAACCTGGGAATCTGCTATTAACATAAGTAATATATTTTTATCATGTGCATTACTCAATTTTATTTAGTTTAAGGTCCTTCACAGGGTTATTACTGCAATGTGAAACTGGCAAAAATTCCACCAAGATACATCATTGTCATTTAGCTAAGGCTGTCAAGTATTGTCAAGTTTCTAGTAAGCAGTTACTACCTGCTTACCAGAAGTATCTGAACTGGAGATTAATCAAATTTCGAATTGGAAACAACCCTATCCACCAAAGGCCTCACAGTGGCTCCTATTATGCCCCTTAAATTAGAAAAGATTAGGTTTTCATCTAGAAAGGCAGCTGTAAAATTCCATAGAAGATGGGACCCCATGATTGCATATTTTGAAAAACTCTCCCCACTAACCCTCTTCCACTTCCACATGAATGTATTTCTTTAACTAGAATTCCAATATGTGAACAATGATCTGACCCTATCTGTATTTGTCTGGTTTCTTCCTAACTTAATTAATAGTCAAATAATGTATAAAGTATTAGTACTTCCTGCCCGAATGCAGAATGCAGAAAGAAGTCAAATAGCTCATGTTCATGCACGTCAAACAGTCCGCCACCAAAAACGCACCCCAGAAGCAGTTGTAGTTTTTCCTCCAACCTTCAAGATACATCATCAGGAGACTCTTCTAGTCCGGCTAGACTCCCTTTAAGTTTGTTCAAAGACATCTCTGAGGCCTTTCAAAAGGGCAATTAAGAAACTGTGCATCCAAAATTGGTCAAAAAAAAACTTTACACACAGAGCAAATTTGCTCTACATTTACAGCAACAACAGAAGAAAAAAAAGATCCTCGATCCAAGAAGAAGGCTGATCATCTAGTATTATAAACTCCATTGCCCTCAGATAAATATGGCTTTTGTGCTGTCTTAGATGAATTTGAATTCAAGTTCAAGAAACAAGGTCATCACTAAGGTCATTACAACCATTAAATTCCAGCATTAAACACTGCAGTATGTCTTCTGTTTCTCATAAAAGATACATTGGATCTCAATCTGGGACCTTATAGATCAGAATAAGCTTCACAGCTTCAAGCTCATGACAGCCACAACACACCATGCTAGACCTGAACTGGACACCCAGTCAGTATCCATGCACTCACCATTCCAACGTTGAACAAGGCAAAAAGGATCAGCCATGGTATGTCTGTGCACCTGCGATCCTCCAGAGGCTTCCAGTCTTGCTTTTTCTGCCAAGGAATACAAAGTGTTGGAAACGTCTGCAAATGGTACTTTCCAACTCAGAAAAGATCTTAATTTCTCAGATGCTTAATTTCTGTATTTGTCTTCCCAATACTTCCCAAAAGCTATGTATGTAGCTATTAGAGGTATTAAACACCTCAGACGTCTGGTTCCTATCACAAACGATGCAAAGAAATGTGAATGGGTAAGCTTCTTTGCAACAGAGCACTACAAATGACTTTTCTTTACATTTAATGGTTTGCAGAAATATTGGGAAAAAAATCCTTTTAAATTAAGATCAGGTCAAAATAAGATTTTTCACATATTCGTATTACAGCAGCAAATCTTAACAACCTTATCTTACAGCACCTTATCTCAAGTTAAGAAATCTTAACCTACTCGATCGAAGTCGACAATCAACTGTTATGTCTGTTACCTAGCAACCGACCATACGCACAGCTAAAAACGTAAATGCGTAATCAAAATAATCAAGTTAGGTTAGCTAGCTAGTTAGCCAGACCGCTAAGCTTAGCTACCCGTACTGGGGTAAAAGGGTCAAACAGAACTAAAGCGCGATAAACTTGATGTTAAGAATATTGTGAGAGCGCTTCCAGCTGTTTATCAGAGCGTCGTCGCTCCCAGTTTCAGTTTCCTAGCTAAACACTTCAGCCGAGCGCGCTAACGATATGTCTCTTAACACACGTTCAACACTGCCTCTTCGTTATTCACCACCATCACTGTAATATTTTATCTGACGTGATTCCATCATTAAAGGTATGAGAAGAGAGGGAGGTGGAGATCGTGTCTGGTATGTTTAAAATGCTGTTATAAAAAAAACTCATAAGTCAAAGCACCTTCAATGTAGATAAATGTAGCAAATGTCAGTATGCCAGTTATAGTAAACTGTGCTGCCTGTCTCTGAATAAAACAACAGAAACAGACGGTTAACACAGAAGTTAAGACACCTCTGGAGTGTCAAATTTGGTACAATATTTAGAAAATGTAGTTAAGTTAGGATGTTTCTGTAATACTGTTTTCTTATCTGGAGTTAATAGATGAGATTATAAACGTAAGAACTGTTGTTCTGTAATAGCTTCTGTCCTAAACTGAACCTAAGTTGTCATGGTGACTAAACAGATAAGATCTGAGTTAAGTTTCTGTAATACGGCCCCCAGTAATCGTAGTAGACAGTCCATTTTTTTACACATGGGCTGTTGTTTTGAACGCGTAAACGTGACCACGCCCCCTGACAACTGCGCCGTTCTGCAGCGCTACAGGGAGTCCTCGCCTTATTTTAAATTGTTCAACGTAACGATGGATTTGCTAGCGACTTGTGTTTATTTTGTGTTAAAAGCTACTTAAATGCAAGACATGAAGTCTCTATAACTCTGTTGTTTCTCAGAAGGAGGAGACCAGATGAAGCTGAAGTCAGTCAGCTTCTTATTCGCCAGCTTTTTGTTCGAATTTGCCCGTTCCACCTTAAATGGTGCCGCAGTAACTGTACGTTAAGGTGGAACGGGAAAATTCAAGCAAAAAGCTGGCGATCAGGAAGTCAACTTCAGCTTCGTGAAGCCCAGACCCCCAACCAACCTTGCGTTTGGAAAATTGAAAAAAAAATCTATTTCTACCGACTGTGATTACAAAACAGAGCCGTTCAACGCGAAAGCATGCCTTCACAGTGAGGTTCAGTATGTATGCTTACCTCTGTGCTACCACAGCACCCCATCGCAGGAAATTCCTGAGCTAAAATAGTCCGAATCAGAGAGGAAACGGCAGCACCTATGAACTAAACTAACATGGGAGTTGGCTCAGCTCGGGAATGCAAGCCGAAAACAACACAAATCCCACTCAGCAAAGCAAACGCCCTCAGACGGCCGCGTGTGTAGTAGCCAGCTTAAAAGAAAGGCACACCGATCGCATGTCCGATCTGCCGAGGTCTGCTAAAAGGATTAACTTTAGCTTGTCTGTTTCTCTGGATCTGGCAAACAGGAATAACTTCCTTCCTGAATGGTGTGGAAGCGAGTGAAACGAGAAGGCGGAGGAAAATGGTTCTCATCGACTGCTGATCCGGGATCAGGGGCTTGTTTTTAGCCTAGGTTCAACCCGACGCGGCCTCTAGAAGTCTAAGCTGATCCTGAGTCGGTTTGATCTCGGTATTAGAGGACTGAAGCATCGGCGGCAGATTTGACTGGCAAAGCATGAGTGAACCGGTTGGTGTAGTAGAGCTACGGAGGCCCAGAGGCACAACAGCACAACCAGCAGTGACTAGAGATGCACCGATCATCAGTTTTGTGGCTGATTCCGATTTTTTCACATCATAATTGACCGATAGCTGATTTTTATTAGGCTTTTTCTGCCTGAAGCACACCCTGTGGAAAAAAAAATAACATAAACATGTTAGAAACGACTTAGTTTAATGTCTTTTCAATGCATTATGATCCTTTTCTTCATAACAAGCATAAAAATCACGAATAGTACGCTAATGTCTCGGTTGCTAACATGAGACTGTGTGTCAAACAATAACAAATTTATTTGTTGTCCAATGTACAGCAAATAAAAAAAAGAAAAAATCTCGCATCCGAAAAATATGGAACATTGCTAAGGAATAGCTACAGATTTACCAACTGTTAATGTCAATTTCATTAATATACTTCTTTAAAACCACTAAAACATGAACATCTGAAAGATACTAATTAAGTAGAATAAATTTCATTTTCCTTTTTCATTTTACAATCTGTGTGAACATATGGAACTGAAAGATTTACTTTATTTGTCTTTGTTTACTAAAGGTGGCTTAGTTGTAACCAACCCCCACAGTGCAGAGGCTGTACTTAAGCCCAGCTAGCACTTCTTGTAAGTTTGTCGCATGCTTCAAAACGGTGTGGCGTTGTAGACAAGATGGTGATTACAGTAATATAAGGTTGGGTTTTGTGTTTTACACAAACAGCTCAGTAAGCAAAAAAGCTTGTGTTGAAAAAATGACTCATATGCCCTGAAAACACTCTTTGGCACAGATCTCTTTAAAACACTGATGAATCAGACTGAAATTTCCTGAGTGACCATGGCTAGGAAATGTGGTAAAGTTGCCACACGTGGCACACATGCTTGACCCTCTATAACAACATGAAGTAGCACTTCTTGTTCTTTTTTCTCAGTTCCAGCTGATCAGACAGCTGAAAAAATAAATATTGTTACATATTGTTTATCTTGACAACTTTTTGAAGTATCACAATATTCTATTTTTTGCAATATCAACCTCTATTTCCAATACATTCTAGAAGTCACCATATAAATCACGTGTTCTTTAATGCGTCAAACTGAATTTGTAATTCTTAAATGAAAAAATCAGTTGACTACTTAAGTAACATTAATAAAATAAAGTGCATCACTGAAATTAAGTGGTGACTGGCTATTTAAAACATCGATCCATGCATAATTATGACATTTTTTATATCATTTGATGTAGAAACAGCATTCAAATATATAATATAGTGTAAGTGCACTTTTTCTGTGTTATGCTTTTGCTATCCGGTGTCAACCAGAGGAGGACGGGTTCCCTTTTTGACTCTTGGTTCCTCTCAAGATTTTCCTTGCCCCTGTCGCCATTGGCTTGCACATGGGAATTTTTCTGTAAAGCTGCTTTGTGACAATGTCTGTTGTAAACAGTGCTATAGAAAAAACTTTTACTTGACTTGACTTATCAGACTCACATTATTTACATCAAAAACTTGCAACACAGATCAGCCAAAATAAAAGCAATGAACTAGTCAATTGTGGAGAGTCTGCCAATTCCGATTCTGATCATGCATCCCAAGGGTTAGGGTTAGGATTAGGTTTTGGGTTGAGGTTGAGGTTTGGGTTAGAATTAGGGCCAGGGTTAGGGTTAGGTTTTGGATAAGGTTGGGTGAGGTTAGGTTTTGCATAATAGAAGTACCATATAAACAATACATCTGCTTAATGCAAGCAATGTATCAACAGAACATCTACAAGATATTTACTTCAGTGTATTCAGATGCTTCACTACTGCTACTTTACTGATATGTTGTTGATGGGTTACTGATAATCTGTTAAGAGTTTATTAATCATCACAAAGGACCACTCTAAATAAAGTGTTACCGTTAAATAAACTTCTAATACTCTTGCAGTAATCTTAACCCTCCTGTTGTCTTGTTTTACTAACCAGTTTTATCCTTGGCATCAGTCTGACCCCAGCAATTTAAACCTCAGGGAAATATCAAAGTTCTGGTGGGAATTCCGTTTTCCCATCCTGTCGTGTAAACTGTTAGTGGTTCTCATATCACTACAGGCGTGGTTATGTCAGATTAGGGCTCTGCATGTTATAGTGACTTCAATATCATCCAAAACAGCCAAAACAAATGTGTGTTGATATTTCTTATGTTTTATACAGCTAAAACAGCCTGGGATCTCAAAGAACACCGAGGCGTACAAAATATGTGCAAGATATTGAAAAACATATCATGATGTTCATTTTATGTTCACTCCATCAAATGCATGCAGAGGAATTCATGCCTAGTTAAAAAGCAAACGCATTGCACACATGACGTTGTAATATGTGCCAAAATAAAAAACAAAATGCATTGTTTTTTTATGTCTCTTTATCTCTTTACTAAAAAACAACATATGAGGATTCGCACCTAAAAATTAAATGCAGAATTCTTGTCAGAATTGAATACAATCCACCTTGACATTTAATGAAGGCATGACTAGCTTTCTGCTGTGCAGTACTTCACACAACATTAAATCAGTGTTATGGATCTTTTTCATTTTGGCACGTTTTCTGCATGTTGCTGTTCACATGCAATCTCGTGTGCAGTTCATTTGACTGTTTTGGTTGCATTTCAATGAGGCATATACATCTGAAGTACAATAAAAAGTCAAGCAACATGAAAATAAATCTTTGCTTTTCATCTTTGGCTCATATTCTACATGTCACCCGTGGAAAAGTAATGCCATGTGTGTACTGCATTTCACTATTTTCACTGTCATGACTGCATTTTAATGAGGCGGATCTGTTTAAAGTACTGCACAGCACAGTTGAAAGCAATAAGTGAGCCTTCATTATATTTTAAGGCAGACTGTATTCAATTCTGACAGAATTTCTGCATTTTATTTTTTAAATGCAAATCCTTGTGCTGTTTTTCAGTAAAGAGGTGAAAACGATGTAATAGAGGTTTTTCATTTTGGCATGTGACAGTGGAAAAGTAATGTCCACTGTGATTGCTTTTCAATGTGGCACGAATTCCTCTCCATATTTATCAAGCCTATATTTATCACTTCTTTTTTTTTCTTTTTTCTCTCATAGTTGAAGCTCTTGAGGCCCAATCCCATTTCACCTCTTGCACCTCCCACTTAGCCCTTAGCCCTCTTTTTAACGTCTAGGGGTGGGCTGTCCCGATTTTAGTTGAGACAGGGGGGTAGGATGAAGTGTTAGGGCTACATGACACTCCAAACAAAGTGTTATGAGAAAAAGGAAAAACCGGCAAGATGGCTGCAAAAGCTACCAAAGAAACCTACAAATGTGAGTTGTTACAAATACAATAACTATTGTATAACCTTAGGTTAATGTCGTTTCCGTGTATTATGGTCCTTTCATTCATAACAAGCATAAAAATCGCTAATAGTATGCTAATTTCTCGGTAGCTAGGTAGCTAAATTTCCGGTTCCATCTCAAATAGTCCAGCGGTACTGGTACGATGTTGGCAAATAACGTAACTAAAGCCCGGCAGCGAGGTTGCTGATCTTTACTTCTCTGCTATATCTGCAGACTGTCAGGGTCGCCTACAGAGCACCGCTAGTAGCCTGTTAATTAAGTAATGTTCTTCTTTATTTGAGGGTTGTTCCGTTTCATAGGGGAAGATTTCAAACACTATCCTTGTAACTCAGTTCCGAGGGGCAAGGTGACCCTCGAAAGCAAAGGGGTAAAAATAAGAAATGGGATTGGGCCTTTGACTGTACTGACCTTGTACTTTTTGTGTGGTTATTTTCATCACCTCTAGATGGCGCTGATGTTCCATTGTATTTCAACTCTGGCTTTATGTTGAACAGTCAGGGTGAACTTTCAGGTTCTTTTGTTTGGGAACACAATGTGCTAAAAGTGACCTCGTTGACAATAAAAACTATAACGATAAAAAATGATAAAGGACGAAAGATTATGTCATTTGTAGACACATGGGGCGGAGAAATGGGAATGGAGGAGATTTGGCCTTCATTTTGATTCTTGAAGGCTTTTTTTAGTGTTTATTTTCCTTCCATAGCTCTTACTGCTATGGCTACATCAGTTTTGACTGGAGAGTGGACTGTAGTGAAAGTAGATTCTCTTTGAGGTCACTTTTGTTTCATTTCACATGTAAAAATGGCAGTCACCACTTGATTTCTTCATTTCTCTTTTCTGTAAAATAACCCTCCCAGTCCCCTTTTTTAATGTGCTCATCTTCCTGGAAACAGTGATCCAGCAATAGATCATTACTGTTGCATTATGTTGTTTGTACTGTAATATGTTATACTATTATTACATCATCACCTTCATAAAGTTATATATTATATACTATTAGATATAATAAATTAAAAAAATAAATTGGTGTAAATAAATGATAAAATAATACAAATTACTGCAAATAAATAGAAAAGTAATTTATTTTAATATATTGATGTATTTATTTAGTTATATATGCAAGTAAATATAGTCATTTAGATTCTGTACACAAAAATAATAATAAAATAAAGGAACCTATTATTACATTTATTATTCATTTTTAAATTATTTATTCTTTTACTGTTCTCTTCATCTTTTGTTATAATGAAGGGTAACAGTAGGATGGTGGGGGTAGTTGTCCTGTTGTACCTATTCATTTCACTGCTTCAATGCTTTGTTCAATAAAATAAAACTTGATGGCAGTAGTTGTCCAAAGAAGTCTGAAACAGCAATTTCAGCTTTAAGGCAGACTTTATGTCAGTACCTCTAACGTTACCTCTCACGTAATAAATTACTTACTGAATCACTTACCAGCTTTCCAAATATGATATTATGCAATTCCATGATTCCCCCATGTGGAGGATTTTATGGGATGTCCTTTGTAAGTGGGATTTACAAAGGAAGATACCATGTTTTGGGGGTTAGAGGGGGAAATGTCTTCCCTCCAGTCACATGCTACCAGTGAAGTGTGCACGATCTTCCAGTCCCGGCGGATCAATCTGTTTTCTGCTCTTTTTTCAGCCAGAGAGTGCTTACTCACCGTGCACTGCTGTGTCCCTCTCACAGCTGTCTGCCGACACACACTCACTCAACTGAAGATCTATGTGATGTGAGGTCACATTGGTTGGTTTTGGTCAGGTTTTCCTCAGTGGTCCAGTCAATGCAGTTTTCACCTCTTTTCAAGGTTAGTATATGGACAGGAGAAGCATCTCACTTATACACATACATATAACACACATATGTGTGTGTGTATATATGTGTTTATATATACACATATATAAAGGTTATTTATAAGTACATGTACTCTCAAGCATATACATATATTTTTTACAAATTGATAGGAAAATAAGTTTTCAGACACTATCTGAAAAACATATGAGGTTAAAAAAATCATATTCTACCTAAGTTCAAAATAAATTCTACAAATTAATGCTGCAAAAATAAACATACACAGTAAAAATGACTCAGTGTTTTAACTCAAAAAGTGAGCAACCTGGTTACCTTTAAATATTGAGTTCATTGAACTTTAAATAATGTTAACCCAATATAAAACAAATATTGTTTTGTTAACTTACTATTGAAGTTCAATGAACTCAAAATTTTAAAACAGGGTTACTTCCTTTGAACATTGAATATTTTTAAATTTTTTTTATAAAAAGGCTCTGGCACAAACATGAAGGTGCTTGCATGGTCTATCCAACCTCCTGACTTGAATCCCATTTAAAATGTGTGGAAGATTTTGAAATTGAGAGTCTATCAGAGAGAACCTCTTAATCTTGGGGAAGACAGGTTCCCAAGTACAGTGGGCCAAACATGGTACCTTTTCAGAGGAAAGAAATACATTCGTAACTTTCAGTGGAAGTTAATGCAAGACTTTTCTCAAGTAATTCTTAACCATTTTTACTGGCCCATTCTTCTTAGAATTTTAACACGTGAAAGGTTATATTATGCAAAAAATGAAAAAAAAAAACAAACAAAAAATGGAGATACAAAGTTGTCGCACAACAGTGACAATGTTTTTACTGTTTTGTTCATTGGTACAAAGTCAAAAGACAACGTAATTATTAAGTGGAGTTATGGACTGGAAGTTTATTAAATAATAAAAACTGTCCGGAGACTTGTTCTTATTACACACATGCACTTACATATGTAACACACACATATAAACTCACTTAAAAGTGATGGTTCTTCAAGGGTCCTTTAGTAAAGAAAATGGTTCAATATAGAACCATGAACATTCACAGAACCCTTTGCATGATTAAAGAGTTCTTTACATTGTGAAAGCGTTCTTCAGATTGATGGAAAATCTGTTGTATATGGTTCTATGTAGCACCGAAAGGGTTCTTCTGTTGTTACAATGTCAAGCTTGTAACAATATAAGAAACCTTTTTGCTGCTGTATAGAACCCTTTTCAAAAACGTTCTACATAGAACCATTTAAAGTACATTCTCAATTAATCTGAAGAACGCTTTCATGATGCAAAGCACCATTTAATCATGCAGAGCATTCTTTGAGTGTTCATGGTTCTATATAGAACCATTTTCTTTACTAAAGCACCCTTGAAGAACCATCTTTTGTAAGTGTGTACAGCGTACATGTACTATGTTATCTAAGGGACATTATGTACTGCAGTGAAGTAATGACTCATGCACATTAACTAGACATTTTTATCTCTAAGCTTACGCTTCCACACTTGAAATTAGATTTAGGACAAATAAAAATAGTGAAGCTGATGCCTAAATATGATCTGTCAATCATAAGCAGTCTATGAGCAGCTAAAACCATGTGTAACTGACCAAATCTTGCTTGCTTTGATGATGGAAAGAATGGGATGAGGGATAAATTAAACCTAGTTTTCATAAACCCAACTCCACACACATTTGGCCCACCACGCTAATATGTTTTAACGTTTCTGTCCAATACAGCTGCATTCTGGATTGAAGTTAGACAAATTTAAGACTTGTCCTTGTAATATCAGTGTAGATTGTTCTATATCATGGTATTGTGACATTTTCGGGTCTGAGCAATACACAGCACACTTACAAACTGAATGTGAACTTTGTGTGCAATAACAGTGTATTCATGAGGGACCCAACGATTGAGGCAAGGCCGTGCTTTGGGAGTACATAGGCCTTTGACATGATGCTTCTACAACTACGACAGCTTTTACCAGGAATTAGGCAAGAGTTCTACATTAGAATCTTCCATACTTATGTGACTATTAGGGTTGATCAGGACTTGGTTTCGGACTGTCCAGAGTGTTGTAGGTATTGCATGGGGGGGTGTCCCAATCCACTTCTTAAAGTGGAACTCTACCTTCTTTTTCAAATTTCTGCATAGTTCAGTGGTTGAGATAAAATAAAGTGAAGTAACTAAAATCATTCAGAGTAATTTGATATAACATGGTTTACTGTAGACATCCTTGCTGAGTCTTTACAGTGGTGGTGATGGGAACCAGGGTCACCATGTCTACAACATAAATATAGCCATTTTATTTACTATCCAAAACCACCAGTGAATCTACACAAATCTTTTTTTTATATGTAGTGTTGATAAATAATATATATATAACTTTGTTTATTTGCTAAGTTTAACATATTGGATAGTAAAGGATCATGTTAAATTCAAAAACGTGTTACATTCAGCAAATAAACAGTAATTGTTCATTAAAGTGTGCAGAGGTGTGTTCTTTGTAGAGAATGTGTTCATTTATTTTCACTTAGAAAATTAACAAAACGTCATTTCAGCAGGGGTGTCAGAAACCATATTGGCACATCTGTTTTTAGCTACATTAGCTTTATAGCTTCCAAAATGCACAAAGCAAAACATGGCTCTTCGATTACTTTTACGTGGCAGGAAAACGATCCAATCCATCTTTTTAACAGTTTTAAGTACAATCATGTCAAAGTTGATAAAGTACACAGATCTGACTACTATTTTGCATAGTACCGTGCAAAAGTCAGAGACCTTCCCTAATTTAATTTGCTGTCAAAACGGCCATCAAATATTTCATTTATTGGCATTCACACTTTACCTTTATTACATTTTATTCTTTTCAGAAGACTCACTTTCAGTTTTTCAGAAAAATCTGCATTGATATTTTTCCACACTTCCAAACTTCAAAGTTGGTTGCATGTTCTGCTTCTCACCAACCAAGTAATGCCAAACACATTTAGTGAGGTCTGGACTTCATGGGGTCCATTAGTCCATTATTCTGAGACCACCAGCAGCTTCTTTGTTTTATTTGCAAATTTTCTTCTATTTGCTAGATTTCTAACTATTGAGCTTGATTTTCTCCTCTCTCTCAAAGATAAAAGCATGATGGAGGCAGTTTTGGTGGTCTACCAGGTCCTGCAGGTGGTTGTTAGGAGTTCCATTTTCTCAGTGTCTTTAAACATTTTTTTCTTATGCAAGTGGATTATCTTATATCTAATCTCTTCAGAAATATCTCCTGAAAATGAATAACTTGTACTTAATGGCTGTCTGGAAACTAAACATTGAGTTGTCTCTGACTTTTCAGCAGTATAAAGGATATACTATATAAAGAATATAAAACTTTCATGTAGCGAAACATAAATGAGCATCAAAGAGAGTTAAGGGGAAGTTGTGTCACTTTAAAGGAGAACTCCAGTGTTTTTCAACGTAATCTCTATCTATTACATCTATTTCCATGTAAAACATCAGCAGAAGTAAAAGACCAATGAACCTTTGTAATACAAACCATAGGTGTTTCAGCATCTGCCCATTGACTTCTGTTGTAAGTGTGCCTCGAGACAATTATTCTATTCTTTTCTGAGTACATGGATTAATTGTCCTTGGTATCAACTGGACTATTGAGATGTGGCAGATAGAGATTGGTAACATATAAAATAACAACGACATCATCTGACATCCTTTTTCCCTTTAACTGTAGGTGTAATCAAATGATATTTTTTCAAACTTCTCTTTTTCAAAGCGCTTTTGATTTTGATCACGAACATGCCCATACTGAGTCTGAACCTGCCAGTGTCTGAGAGGGAACTGTGGAGGAGGCCATGACTGGCCTTTGTGCCTTGTAAGCAGTTTTGACCAGTGGAGGTCCAGTATGGGGGCAACACACAAAAAACTCTCTGTGGTGGAGCAGCTGCGTGAGCATTCAGCACAGACAGGAAGCATAGAGGGAGTGCAGACGTGTTGTTGAGGCCAATGGGACGTGGTGCTGATGGAAGTTGCTTGCAGTGCTAAACTAAAACCAGTTTTGTTTTCATTTATTATGATAGACATTTGAGTTTTCGAGACCAGGAGGATCTTTATTGCCAGCCCATCCATATACAGGTCCACAGCGGAATGAAATAATGTTCCTCCAGGGCCTCCAGCAACCAAGTAGTGCTAGTTAAAGAGGAATGCCATTGATTTTATTTTTAATTTCCATGTAATTACATTGTTAAAATGCAAACAAAGTTGGTCAGAGTGGTTTAATGTGAAATGCTCCATTCTAGAGAAAGCTTGCTAAATCAGATTACTTCTGAGTGGCAGTGATAGTAACCAGACGTCTGGAGTATCAAAGCCTCTAAAAGCTCCTGCATGGAAAAATAGTACATGAAAAAGTTACAAACACACTGTTTGGTGCCTGAGACATTGTTTTATGATAATTTTGAGAAGGGTTTTGCTTTTTATTCATTCATGGAGGAGGGATACATACTGGCTGTTGTAAAGCAAAATAGTCTCCAAAGCAAACTTATTTTTTAGCACTATTTTACCATCATCAACTTCACATCTGCAAACTCAGAGTGTAGGTTCATTAGTCATTTTGGATAGTAAATAAAATGGCGATATTCATGCTGCAGACATTGCGATCCCTGGTTTCTATTACTACCACTGTAAAGACTTCCGAGTTGGTAAGTTTCTCTACATTGGAGCATTTTACGTCGAATTTATACATGAAGTCATTGCTTTGCTACACAGTGGAAATGTTGCATCATTTACTTAACTGGAAGGCTTACAAATGCTTATGTCAGCTAATAGGCTGGATAACATCATCGTGACTTACAGATTTCATTATACTCCATATTCAATGAGAACATACAGCATACAGTTCTGAAATTATGTAATTGAAAAGATTTGGTCATGAAATGATAGAATAAAATGTGATACTTAAAAACCACAAAAATCAGACACGTCCATCATTTTTGTCTGAGAACGTCACAAAAAGCTTGTGGAGGAGATGCATAGCAGGAACAATTGTGTATGAATGTATAATTAAAGGGCCTGTGTCATACATTTTTAAATATATTTTATATTTTCTCACTTTTGTCCACTTAATGTTTTTATGCATTTTTATGTACCGAAAACAGTCATTCATTCTTACATGACCATTTAACAACCTCTGTGAATCCTTTAGAAATAAACAGGCTGATTTTGTTACTGTACCTTTCAGACTGATGTATGTAAATGACTTCTTTTTTGGCTGCCCTCATTCAAAAAAAGCAATCCAGACTGAAACACTGCTTATTAACTGGGGGCTAAACTGCTTTAGGCTGATTTGCTGGTTATATGAAAATGTTGGTTTTTGTGAAAACACAAAATTAATAACTACTGATTTTTTCAGTTTAGTTTCCTTACGTGCACTGCATGGTCTGGGACAGGTGTGCTCAATCCGGGTCCTGGTCCCACCACCCTGCAGAGTTTAGCTCCAACCCTAATGTAACACACCAGATCCAGGTAATCAAGGCCTTCAAGGACATATGACTATATGAGCCAGTAGTGTTGGATTTGAACCCTCCAGGGTGGTGGATCTTCAGGACCACTATTGAGCTCCCCTGGACTGGGGAGTGAACATTGTTTTAAAAGTTTATCAATATTTGTTTGATACATCAAACTTTTTTTCAGAAAAAAACATGGGTCCTTTAATATTTTGTAAATATCAGTTACAGTACAAATTAATTGTACACACACACATTTTTTAACCGCTTATCCCTCTGGGCCATGGAGGGATGCCATAGCCCATCCCAGGCAGGATGCACCCTGGACAGGTCACCAGTCCATTGCAGGGCAGACAGACAGACGTATACATTCACACCTAGGGCAATTTAGCATGTCCATCAGCCTGACAGTCGGACTGCTGGACTGTGGGAGGAAACCAGAGGACCTGGAGGAAACCCACGCAGACACGTGGAGAACATGCAAACACCACACAGAAAGGATCCTGGTCGCCCAGCCGGAACCCAAGCCCTTCTTGCTGTGAGGTGACAGCACTACCCACTGCCCATGTTTCTGACACACTGAACATTTCTAAGTACCTCAACTCTCTGTGAGGGAGAACATTCAGTACTTGATATGACGTGCGTGATTTGAACCTAAACCCAAGAAGAATGACTTACATATAGGCTGCTGGACAACTAGTGTTACATCAGCTCCTTTAAAGCTAAACTGTCTCCTTTAGTCCTATTCTAACTCTAGAGGTGAATTTAGACTGATGACTCAGTGAATAGAGTGGTCATGATAATGTTAATATGCTAATCACAGGCCTAGACGGGGTACTTAAAGGGGAACTAAATTATCAAGATTTCTGCATAATTAAATCACTAAGATGGAAGCAAAGTCATTAAGAGTGGTTTGATGTGAAATGTCCCCAGTCAGGATTGTTCACAGTGATGATGATAGGAACCAGATGTCTGAGTACCTCTAAAATCTCTCTCACAGAAAGTTATTACACTAAATGATCATGAGTACCAATTCATGCCCAATACATTGTTTTACGATAGTTTTGAAAAAGTTTTGGCTGAAAATGTATGTTTTAAAATACATGCATGCTAGAGGGTACATATAGGGTGTTGGAAAGCAAAATAGTGGCTAAGGAAAAGTTATTTCTTAAGATTTATCGCTATTTTACCATCATCATCACATACAGAAATACAAATGTAGTTTCACTGGTGGTTTTGGATAGTAAATAAAATGGCTATATTTGTGTTGTAAACATTGCAACCCCTGGTTCCTAGAGTGATGATGTCATGGCTGAGTAAAAAAGTATTTAAAGGGCCCATTTCTTACATTTTTCTTCTTTCTTTCCTTGAGGTCCACTTATCATTTGTGTGCTTTTATGTACCAAAAACATAAATTCATTTTACATGACCATTTTCCAACCTTTCTTTATCCCTTGAAATTAAATAGCTGTTCTTGTTCAGACGGATGTGAAATGAGCTCTGTTCTGATTGGCTGCCATTGGCTGTATTGTGGCCCATTGTAAAAACAGTCGTTGAAACACTCCTTATGACTCCTTATGCCATGTATGCATGCCAAAAAAATGTGTTATTTCCATAATATAGGCCCTTTAATATACTTTCAAATATGCAATTGTGGAGGCACACGAGGCACAAAGAGCAGGACAGCAGTTTGGAAATGAATGGGCTGCTGAATGACCATGTGTCATTCAGGCCATGTGTCATAAAATGCATCTCATCATGATTTTTCTGTGATAATACAATCATGTCACCTATATTTAAACACTTTTCTATTCATTTTCTCACCCTATGCCTGGGTTCGTGCGGCGCAGTGACGTCACGTCCCCTTTCACCCAGTTCCAGGCAGAGGCGAGGTTACTATCGGTCACTGAGAGAGAAAGCGGAGGAGGAGGACTTTTCTCGCTCCTTCTCTTCTTTCAGTCTCACAAAAGCAGTCCCGACGCATCCCAGACTGCTCCACTAAAAGAGGTTAAAGCGAACTAACAAACTTTCCCTCAATATATCACAGTTAACGTAAAAACATCGCTGAACGTTGAAGTTTCCGTAGCGCCTGCTGTCTAACGCTTTCCTAGTTAGCCTGCTACCAGCCTCGTCTTTCCGGGTTCTGTTTTGCTCGAATACTGTACATTTTAAAGCGGTGTGGGTTAAAATATAAACGAAAATAAAGTCAAAATTGCCATGCAAAAGTACAACCCGGTCAGTCGTGTCAGTGTTAAGGCGATAAGAGGGAAAACAGAAGAATACAGCTATTCATACGATGTCGCTAAGCTATTTTTAGACAAACTCACCCCTCCCCCCTTCTCTCCTTCAGCTCCTGAGGTTACTATCGGCCAAACTGCTCACTGATGACTGAATGGGGGAGCATTAAGCTGTTTTTCTTCTTCAAATCCACATTGTTTTGTGTACTGACCGTGAAATGCTCAATGTAGGCTAGCAGGCACAACTGAACGGCTTTAATCTAAAGTTAAAAGGCGAACAACACTTGCGTCCCTTTGGAAATATAATTGATGTGATTCACGTGAAATGGTTCATTGTAGAAAAACAAGAAAGAGTCAGATTTCTTTACACTGGTGTATAGGAACAAGGTGTCACAATGTCTACCACACAAATACATTTTATTAACTATCCAAAACCACAGGTGAACCTACACAGGTCTTCTGGGTGTTTATATGTAATGTTAATGATGGTAAAATAGTCTGGACTAAAATAATGGACTATTTTGCCCCACAAAGCCCTGCTAATATTCCTCCGATGAAAATAAAGTGATTAAAATACGTTTTAGACCACAGCTTGATCACAAAACTACCATTAATCAATGTCTCGGACATTGGCAGTGTATTAATTACGATTTCATATAATAACTTTATGTGAGGAAGCTTGTAGAGGAGGACGTCTGGTTCCTATCACCTCCACGGTGAACAGTGTATTTCACACCAAAACACTCTGAATGAATCTGTTCACATCTCAGCCGTTTAATTGTGCAATCGTTCACCTTTAGGGGGATGGGAGCAATAAAATGGATCTGAAGGGGGTCAAACTAGCCTGTATGTGTCGTAAATGAAACCGAGACAGTGAAGCTTGAAGTAAAGGAAGCCTCCGTCACCTGTTTTGTTTCAGTACTTCTTTTGTTCAGCCTACATTCTCTGCAAATGTAAGAACAAGCACCATGTGTCAGATTTAAAGGGGTTATTCTGGCTTTTCCTCTGTCAAAATGGTATATGTTCCGCTCGACATGCTGTATTTTACTTTTATTTTTGACGGTCGTCGTCGAAGTTGTTTTTTTTTCAGCGTTTTGCTGCATCGCTATAACCGAGACGCTTTCTTAAAAGGGCAACGATACTGCGCTGACGTAATGCATACAGGGAGATAGATCACATAGAGCGGGCCCCACCTGCTGTACATAGAATTTGTACTGCGACTACTTCTGCTAACTGTATGAGACATGAATAACATGAAAAATTTGTGTTTATATCTTCATCGATAGAGTTTTAAATATAGAATCTATCCAAGGATGGGTTAGTGACCAAGCAAGTAGGGCCACTACCCGGGGCCTTTGACCTCATGGGGCCTCAGAGTACAAGGCCTGGGGTGGCACATACCTGAAAAATACACTGTAGATTTAATATTACATGAACAGATAACTTTAAATATGTACAAATGACAAAATAAATTATTTTTTTTCTCATTCATGATTGTTATAAATGTCACCTGTTCCCCTTTTTATAATTATTAACTTTTTCAAATTTTTCAGGGCTTTTTTTTTTAGTTTGCTATGAGATGCTTGAGCCCAGGGGCCTGGTCCATTCCTGTATTTGTCCCATTGTTGCATATAAATCATGTTAATGTAACTCAATGAAAGCATATAATATGCTCTAAATATGCTCTGCATGCAACATAAAATGCACAAAGTAACTACAGTTTGATAGATTTGCCTTTAAGCAGTTACAAATCTAAAAGGTTTTTCTGCTGCATACTCTTATCTCATCACCATGCAGACATCGTCTTCTGTTTTGCTCATGATTTCCTTTTCTCATAGATTAAGCTATTCTACTTTGGTACATTGGGTACATTTCAAGTTCATCATGTACACTTCAATAAAACAACTAATGCTGTCTTAAAAACTGGTCATCACTGCAATGTAAAGTGGGCAAGACTTTATGTGCAAGAATTTTAATACCCTGTGTTGCAGAGTTGAAGTGCTCCTGATTCCACTCATGAACTGGTCATTAAGCCCTTTATGGGGCTGATCAGTTACCACAGGAACAGCACTACTACATAGGGTCAGTGTGCATCCTCTATTGGTCAGTGTTAGCACATCGTTAGAAATTTAGTCACATCATGATGTTAAAATTGTTCATGTACACCAACAGATTCCTAGGCTTCACAAGAAAAGTGTACGGTTTGAAAAGTACAAACCTTTAAGAGAATTTGTAGTTTACATACATTTATTTTCCCAAACAAATCCCTTACTCAGCATGTTTAACGGAGAATGGAGGGGCTTTGGGTGACTCCCTTCATTGCCAACTGGGCTCCCATACTGCCTACTCTAATGCACAGAGACAGTGGGCTGCAAAAACAGGATGCAAACATAGATCACATGGTCAGACAAAGGAGAAACCTCAAGGTTGTACATGTCACAGGCTGACTGGCAAAGTTTTGTCTGGCTCTTAATGTTTTGATTTCCAACATACTGTATCTAAACTACTTGGTGAACAACACCTAATAAAGCTGAAAACAAATAAACTCTGAGGCAAATAAACCATCCTAAGACTATAATCTGCTGTATTATGAACCACCATTTTATTGCTGATGTTTTTATTAAAGTTATCCAGTAAACTCGGTCCTGCTACTGGGCACTGGTTTACCCTTTAGCCTTTTAATTCAGGCCATTCAGCATCTTTGGTTATACTTTCACCAGATGTGAGGTTATAAACATACACTGTATGGCCAAAAGTATGTGGACACCTTACCATCATATTCCTATGTGAGCTTGTTGGATATCCCATTTGAGAGTACAGACACTGAGGCCTGGCTCAAAATCCATGTTCCAATTCATCCCAAAGGTGTTCAGTTGAGGTCAGGGCTCTGTACAGGCCACTGGAGGTCCTCCACACAAAACTCATCAAATGTCTTTATGGAGCTCGCCTTGTACACAGGGACACAGCCATGCTGGAACAGGATAGGGTCTTCATGAAACTGTTGCCAAAAAGTTGGAAGCATATAATTGTCCAAAATGTCTTGTTATGCTGTAGCATTGACATTACTCTTCACTGGAACTAAGGGGCCCAAACCCTGAAAAACAGCCCTAGCACATTATCCCTCCTTCACCAAACCTAACTGCTGGCACTGTGCATTCTCCTACCTGGTAGGTAGCGTTCACCTCTCATCTGCCAAACACAGATTCGTCCATCAGACTGCCAGATAATTAAGTGTGATTTGTCATGTTTCTATTGCATGGCATTGCACATAGTGATCCTAGGTTTGCGTGCAGCTGCTCATCACTTTGTGCAAATGCCCACCAACTACAATTCTTTAATATTTTAAAATGTATTCATGGGGGAGGTGTACATAGGGGTGCTATAAGGCAAAATAGTCCCCAAAGAAAACAATTATTCTCATTTACCACTATTTTACCATCAACGACATTACATATAAAAACTCAGAAGACACATGGAGGTTCACTGTTTGCTGGAACACAAATTAAAAGGGCTACATTTGCATTTTATACATTGCAACCCAGGGATGCGAGAAGATTTTAAGCAGCATATATGTGGCATGAGTGATGCATGCAAAATGATTTGTTTTTTTCCAGAATTTACATTAAACAGAATGTGTCATACTGCGCTATAATGAGGCGAGAGACGACAATATATACATATAACTGACATGTCCTATCTCTGCTCTTTTATTCTGGATGAATATGAAAAAAAGGGGAGACCAATCAGATTGTTGATGTGTGACACACTCACAGTCACACTTTTTTGTCGTTTAACACAGGAAAGCGCACTGAGAGAGCGATATTACAGTTGAAAAAACGTTTTTATTACATTAGATTTTTATATATTTTTTTACTGTTTAACAAAAGTATTAGGCTGCACACACTTTCTCTCTTTGCACCCACCTGTGTTTTAGTGATGTAGCCAAGGTTCTCTAGGGAAGCGATTCGGCTCACTGTAATGAAAACACAGAGATAACTTAAATAGTGCACAGCTTCTGCAGATTTTGAAAATATGTACAAAAAAAAAAAACAGAAAAATGCCAACACCTTTCTAAAAGAAGCACAGAAAACTTTGCTACGCTTACATTTTCAAAAAGTTAAGATCTCTGTGTTGAAATCTTCCAGCACCCCTGAAGCAACCCCCTAGTTCACCACCACTGTGAAGAAATCGAGTTGTACGTTTCTCCTGAATAGAGAATTCATACTGAGTAACTTTGTTTACATCTGAACGATTGAATTATGAAGAAACTATAATAAAATACTAAACGAAACAATCATAAAAATCACAAACGTTTCTATGCGTTTTTTTACGTTTTACGTTTTTCTCCAGACAAAGAACGTCATGCTGCAGCTTGGTCGTTGCCCCTTTAAGAGCTGTTTTGGGTTCGCACGTGCTCCTCTTCCACGGCGGGAGGGGGGGGGTAACACACACTCGGCTCGCGTTTGACCGAGAGTTACCTCGCGCTCGCTGCTCTTAAAGCGGCAGCGCAGCTCGCGCTATAAAAGAGTGGAGAGGCGAAAAAAAGTACAACACAAACACAGCGCAGAGAGCCGAGAGGAGCATAACGGTTCGAGTAGACAGGCCGGAGTCTGAGGAGGCTGAACTTCTCCTCCATTCTTTCTCTGAAGGAACTACGGTTTATGAAAAGAAAAAGTAGCAGCTGAGGATCGAGGGTGAGTGGAAGCGTTTCTTGGGGGATTTTTCCCCTTTTCTATCGAAATGACGCTGAGCTGTTAAGTTTTGTAAGTTGATGAAATGTGGTTGTCCCGTGTTGACAGGTGCCTTTTAGCTCAGCGTTCATGTTTAGTCTGCACGAAAAACGTTTGTTCGGTAGGTTTTCTTTGTCAGGAAGGACTTGTGGCTTTCAGCTTTGTTTTGATGAATTTCTTCAACTGAGTAGCTATAACTGTGACACATACATTAGGACATTAAGTCAATTTTCTTCACTGATAGGGATTTTTTTTCACACTTTCTGTGGTAAAAGATGCTAAATTGAACCGAGCTTCTCGTTCGAGTTTTCCCGTTCCACCTTAAATGGTGCAGCAGTCGAGCATCTATCTGTCCGTCTCCTTTAGCTGCCCACAGAGTTGAATTATCATCTTGCAGCGTCGAATTAACACGAACAGCGTTAAAATCGCACTTGCGAGTCCATTTGTGTCCGTTTGCTGGACCTATTTGAGTGTTGACGGTGTTAAAGCAACACTGGGGATTTTTGTGCTGTGAGGAGTCTTGAGCGAAATGACCGAGAGTAACCTCCCTCTCTTTCTCTCTCTCTCTCTCTCTCTCTCTCTCTCTCTCTCTCTCTCCGCAAAGCTACCCTGAAGTTCAGCTGTATCCTGTTCACATGAAGCTTAATACAAGCACGCTCTTTCTGTCTTTCTTTTGTTACATATATACATATATATTACGCATTTATTACATATGCGTAACACAAATTGACCAGTTATTGTCGTTTTAGAGACTCAATGGTAAAGTCACCGTTAATCGAATCTAATTTAATTTAATTGTACACACTTTTCATTTAATTCCAGCTCAAATCAAAGGGTTCAGTCAACACTGGATGTCAATAAAACTATAGATGTTCATTCAGAACTGTTCAATAGGCTGCATAAGAAAACAATGGGACAGAACAAAGAAACATGAATAACGCCTAATTTTTACTCAAAAAACGAATGAGCAGTGTGTTCAATTATCCCTGTTTTCTCACACTCATCCTCTTTTCTGCGCTCCAAAGTGACTGGCATCAGTTTAACCGCAGTCAACGCTTTGTCTGCTGCCAACTGCGTTCATCACATCTGTTAGAACAGGACACATCGTCCACATTTCGTCTACAAGCAGCAAATGGTCGTTTAGACTGCCAGTGAAAAACCACGCTCATATAGGCTGTAACCCCATTGTGGACCACAACAGCAATGCGAACAAGAAAAGTGATAAACAAGAGGAAAAAATGCAGTTCCGCCAGAGCACCACTAGAGGGCCTATCGCCATTATACCGTGTGGTCATGCGATTCGCCTTTGAGTTCAAAGAGCTGCAGGGTAAGAAGAAACAGACCCCTCTTTATTCTGTCTTTTGTCCGCTTTTTCTGTCCGCACTGGCCATCCAGGAGCAGTCATGGGTGGCAGGTGGATTTATGCCTGCTCTTCTACAGAAGATATGTCATTAATCATTCTTTCATGAACCAGGAGGTCTCTGGGTTTGCTCTCTGCAAGTGTTTTAAAGTGGACATAAAAAGGCTGTCCAAATGCTACCAGTGACCACACACCGGCTATCCTGTGCAATGCTAACCTGACAGCTTCCATTTCAAGGAAGGGGCAGGGATGCACCATCTGTCACCTTCATTAGGACTGTGTTATCCTGGTGGAAGGTGGATTACAGTGACCATAGCCGTAAACATAACTAAACTATCTCTGGTTATATTATATGTAAACTATTGAAAATTATATTCCTTTGTATGTGTGTATATATATATATATATATATATATATATATATATATATAGTTGTCCTATATTAAATACAATTTTAACTAATTTTAACTAATAGACCAAAAAAGTAAAAAGTATATATATATATATATATATATATATATATATATATATATATATACATATATATGGAGTTGTAATAAACAAATAAACTTTTTACTTTTTTGGTCTATTAGTTAAAATTTCATTTAATTTTGGACACAATAAAAACAAACAAAACAGAACAAGAACAGAAAAAAGAGAGAAAGTGATAAAATAGTGTAATATAGCCATATTGATAAGCCAGTACAGGCATAAATAATACATATTAAAACCTCGAATATTAAATTATTTACGTATTTTACACCATTTACACAAAGCTGCCCCTAGCATTGGATCAACTTTTTCTTATAAATAGACCTATAAAAATAATCCAAAATTGCCTAGAAGAAAATCTCATTACATTAAAGATTTTTGTTACATTAAAGTTGCCATTTCATTCACATTTTGTGATGACATACATAAATACAAGGTAAACTAAAATAAATCCATAAATCCAATAGACCAGGGGTGCCTAGACTTTTTGTTTTTGGTGTTGTGATTATACAGGTAATGATCAAGACTTTAATAAGCTGAGGCAGGTGCGCATGAGGTCGTTTTTTTGTCTTATGTAGTCAGTATTTTAGCTGCGTTTAAATATAAACCTCCTGTGGTTTTTCTGAATGTAGCTGTACAACTTGCTTTATTAACCGGAGCATGTGTGGGTGGTCTTCTGGCTTCGAATGTTTACCGGTTCTAAAGTCTCTGTTGACTTTTGTGCAACATTGTGCTGGTGCAGATTTTGGATGCAGTCCCATTTCTCATCTTATAAACTCTCTTTAAGATAAGGGTGGCGTGAGTTTTGTCCAGCAAATAGAAACGTCTAGCTTCTACTGGGTGGCTGCATGAAGCGTATAGTTAGTTTAGCATCGTGGCCCATTCGCAGAACTAACAAAGCTTTTCTTTTGGTCATTCTTGTCTTTGCAGGTCCAGAGAGGTGGCACGGACGGGCAAGATGGCCGTCTCCACTCAGTTGGGTTTGCTGTTGTGGAAGAACTTCACCTACCGACGGAGACAGACCGTAAGCTCAAACCATCATTATCTCTCACGTTAAAAGTTGTTTTATCTTCTGACTTTTGAAAACTACTCCCATGGCTTTAAGTAAGCAGTGCTCTAAAGACATTATAAAGGATTAAACTCACATGGAGATCAAACATTGACTATAATGGTAAAACATTCATCACTGTTCTGCACACTTTATACTTTGGACATTTGGATTTGAATCAGTGGTGTCTTATTCAAACCACTGTCTAAAACTTCTTGCCTACATTGGCACAATCTACCAAAGTGCAAATCAACAGTTTGGAGTCTGTTTGGAGAATGTTTTTAATAATATGAAACTCAATTTGATTGCAGATAAGTGTAGGAGAATGTAGGAGAAGGTAGATGTGTTCAGATTGATGAGCACTGAAAATGAAGAAACAATAAAAATAATATCTAGAATGTTCAGAATGCCTTGTCTTTCAAAAGTGGTGATCAAACCTTGAGACAAAATTATTGTAAATAGATAAATACAGCATATGATGTAGTAGGTTCTTGATGCTTCCAAAACAGTTGGAATATTGAATACATGAACATCTGAAAATACCTTTTGGTGTCTAACTTTGGCTTCAGGGCAAAAGTTCATTACACTTTTGTGATTGCTCCACTCAAACACACGTGATTCTACTAACCAATTCATGACCAAATTTAGCATTTTTAGAACATATACTCCAAACTTTGTCTTGGAGGCCAGTTTAGAAGCATCTGCTGAGGGTTTGGGGGCCTACCAACAGATGTAGAGGGGCAGCTGGGAACAAACTCTCATAATGAAAAGAGGATTGTCTCAAACAGCTGATGTTTCAGGATCATCTGCCACCCCACAAGCTCCCACATTACTGTTGACCCCCTTCAGACCCAAAAGGCCCCCTTTAAACTGTTTTGTTCACGTGTGGAGCTTGGCATGTTTTTTTGTCCAGTTGTTTACCATTTCTTTGTGTTGCAGCAATAATGTAGCAACGTAGACAAAAGAAAAACATTCTTCAGGGGCATCAGCAACACAGAAACGTGCCTCATACAAAATGGCTGACAAGGCTTTAAAAGGACCGAAACACTGTGGTTTTAACCACAAGGCAGAGAATAATGACAGTCATAGGCAGAGCAAAACCAAAGCGTACCTTAATTCTGCTTTGTAAGATGAGTAGACTTTATTATTCAAACAATGACATGGCTATTAACTAAAGACAATATGCAGAATTACTTCAGAGTTTGACTGAATATATGCTTTTCACAATCTTAAAGAGATTTTGATCGAAAGGCTTATGTGTAAATGCTTTGAATTTACATATATCCTATCGCAAGTAGCTCCAAATTGCAGCTGCTTTGAAGAATTTAACATGTTTAAATTTGTTTAACGCTGTTTTGCTCAATGCATAATTCCATATGAGTGATTTAATAGTTCTTATGTCTTCACTATTATTGCAAAATGTAGAAAACTGTAACAATAAATGATTTGTGGGTAGTGTAATTGATTTGATTGTGGTCCATTTATAGCAGGAACATCAAGTGTTCGCTCTATGTGTGTGTTAAGCTAAAAACAACAGCAATAGACATCCATAGCACCCTGCAAAAGTCAGAGACCACCCTATATTTGTTTAATTTCTAGTTAAAACCATTAGGTACTATTTTTTCAGGAGATACTTCTGAGACAGTATAAGATATTCCACTTGCATAAGGAAGTGTCCTTCTATTTTGAAGACGACACAACACTATGGGCCTCAAAGGATGTGTAGCTGTCAAGAAGCTGTTACTGAAAAAAGGAAA